TGTTTATATATAAAATTTTCCATTGCATTATAAGTAAATGCACAAAGGTGTCTGTTCTTAAACAAAGCACAGCTTGTATGAGTACTATACAACTGATAAACGTATTTTAAATACATACAATTATATAGAAATTAGGCCAATACACTCTCAGACTAAGTACACGTATCTGTCAGGCGGGAGTTGGCCTTCAGACGTTTCAAAAGTCTGTACGCGGGTTTGGAGTCCATCTGCACTCGCTCCCTATTGTCCGGTGAAGCTGTAATGACCAGCTGCGCCCAACAGTATTAAAGTAGGCCAAAAAAAATAGACCAATACACACAGTCATGCTCATGAATACAAATGTTTGTACTGTGTAGGGATCGAACTCAAGATCAGTAGCACAATCACAGATAAGAGAACATATATGTATATGTACGTATGATCACATTGTAATGATTTTGGATATATTTTGTTAAATAGTATATATACGGTAATCGTGAATCTAGATGTGAACAGATAATAACTAAATGTCCATGGCAGTCATTTCATAGTTCATATATAAATTAATATAATGTCTGTGTCTAAATAAATTATAAACAACTAGTAGTTTCAATAACTAGTTTCACCCGCATAAAATTTATATACTATATGTTATTCTGATGTATAAGCTATATTACTGAAAAGTTTCACCAAAATCCGTTCAATAGTTTTTGCGTGAAAGAGAGACAAACATTCCTCCATCTATTGCATACACAAACTTTCGCATTTATAATATTAGTAAGATAAGCAAATGTGTCAATTTGTTCCTCATCCCTTAATCCACTACATTCATGATTTTATTTAAAACAAACGAATATATAAGGATTATCCAATCTATAATATAAGGATTATAGATTAGACAATAGGTGGGTAATTTATTGACATTCAAAAGAAATAATTTAAAGCCACTGTTTTAACAACCACGTTAAAGCTGTTTCGATTATGTCCTTGGTGGTATGATAAAAATATTATTTTTCTATGGTTGGTAATAATAATTGTTAAAAACACATTACAATTATACACTTGTATTACACTTACAATGTATAATACAGAAAGCAAACTCAGTGTGCAGTGAATGTCGTCGACCCATTGCACCATTGTAGAAATGTAAGTACGTACCTATCTGATGCATCGTTTTATTGCTTCAATAAAATAAATTAGAGGTTATGTTGTTCTCATTAGTTAATCAGTTCAAGACAGAAATAGTTATTAATTTATTACAATATATTTTTGCACTGATTATTGATAAAATATGTATAATACAGCAATGTTTGACAGTTTGTTCATTTTTAATATTTTTCGACCTATTAATTAGTAGTCTAACAACCCAAATTTTGCTACAAAAAACCTCAGACATCGTTTTCATGGCAATTGTCTGATAAAATTTGTGGCAAAAGATATCCAGCAAAGTATGTTCCGTCTTTAAATAGACACGGTAACATAGAGACAAAAATACTACATTTGATAAATCTTTTATTATACTGAGTCGATAACAAGATCGCAAGGTTTGTACTTCGTATATTGGATAACTAGCAGTTCATTGCAGCTGAGCCGAGACCAATACGTTATTTCCTGTTCCATTTAGAATTTGAAATTGTTCTTGGTGGATGGATACCTAAGTTGTAAAGTGATATAACCTATGTATCGGACAGATGAAGAGCATAGCATTATACGTCATGATCTTTGCTTGTTCAGTTTGAATTTGTAAAAGAAGAAGAACAGGAAAGCATTTTTTAAATTTTACGTCTTCATCTTCAAATTTGGGTTTAACTGTGATAAAGCAGGACTGGTTTACGTAGAGATAAAATGAAATGAAAGAGGGTAGATAAAAATACAGTTTTTTATCTTTATTTATTTATTCAATTATTTGCTTGATAATGAATTCTTTTGTCAAGATTTAACATTGTAATATACCTATTCACCTTAAATAGCACGAGACCAAAACTTTTCATAGGATCATCTATAATTTCGAATAATTTTTAACCACAAAAAATATAGGAATATTCACTACTTTGAACTAAACGTAGGCACTCATCAGCCGACTTTAAAAAGAGAAACTATTCTCAATAAATATTACTTATGTGTGTGAACCGGTTAATTGTGTTATTTATTCTAATACGTTTATACAATCGTAATCTACTATATTTTTATACTGTCACATATTTGATATATATATTTATATTTTATACTATAATGCTTTGTATGTGTTTAAAAGTAAGTACTTGTATACATTGAACGGTGTCAGGCACTCATAATTATTATAAATAAGTTACCGACCATATAAATTCATGTCCAGTGACTACTGCATTTGAGAGATATTGATCCAATTAGACGCAGAAGATATAGGTATAACCTTATTTATATAATAAAGACCTTAAATAATTTATTTATGTATTTATTTATTTCTCTATTTAAGTATTTCCATCAGTTGTCTAACACTTACTACACTTACTACTTAGCCTAGGACTAATGGCGCTTTATTAAATCTCTAGGTTTATTATTATTATAAGATAACAGATTTACTGTATTCTTTAATGGAAATTATTTACTCGTGTGTTTGTCCCATAAAAATGAATTTCAGTCTTGAGCTATTGCCATTGTATAATTCATATAAGTACTTGTTTTTTGCACCAATTAAGTCAGCCATATTGGAGTCAACGATCTAAAGTGCTTTTTTTGGCAAAAACCAAAAGATGGCAGATAATATACGTTACGTAACTTTTTTGGTATTTCGCCTGGTTCAAGGAACCGACAGTGAAACAGTGACAGTGTTATTAATGATGTCGCTTATCTCAATTTTAAAAACACTTAAATATTGTCACTTATCCTCTCAAGCTCCACTGAGTTCTCTTAGTGGGCTGTGTTTTGGTTGCAGGGTATATGCCAGTGAAATTACATGGTTATATGTATGATATATATACATTTGGTCCTCTGGAATGACAACGTATGAGAAATTCTGTAGGCGCATCAGGATATGATATCCCTGGTGCAGTTCCTGTATACACATAGGTGACGGTTGCCACTCACCATCGTTTGCCATTTTATTCTTTGTGACAATCTATATTTCTGTCTCAAACCAAAATAATTCTATTGTTATTACTATGCAAATCTATATATCTATAATTATAAGACCATTCTTTGAGATTTTTTTCTCTGCTAAAAGTTAGCTAAAAGTCAGTCAATCATGTAACGAGAACGTATAACATGATACCAAAATATGAAATACATAAATATCAACCCCGAATAGTTTGTAATTGTTAAGAAACACTGAGATAACTAACGTTATTACATATTTGCGACGCGTCGCTTCGTCTTAATTTCAGTATACTGAACGAAATAAGTCCATGTCAAGTATTAAGTCACATCTGAAAAACGAAACATTAATCACTCCATTCCTCAGGGGAGTGTTCTGGGATGTGTATTGTTTCTTATATACATAAATGACCTTCCAAAAATTACAAACTCAGCATGTGTTCTGTTTGCCGATGATATATCGTTATTATTCGAATGTCCTAATCGCGACAATAACTCACATATATCCGAAATCTTTGTCACTACACAGAATTGGCTTCTAGATCACAACCTTCAAATTAATATGACTAAGACAAAAATTATCCAATTTCGACCTCACCAGAAAACACCGCTAAATTTTACATACTCTTTAATTTTTCACAAATTTGCCATACTCTTTAAACAGAGTCTAAGTGTATTGTTAATTTATCATATGTAAATTTATGTATATGCATGTGCAATTATAAATAAATAAATAAAAAGTTCAACACGATGCGACGTCTTCAATCGACAATGACTCTGCCACCCCAAATGGGATTACAGTCGTCAAGATATATACTGCATAACAAATTTCTAATAAGCAAGTTCTCTAAATCGCATAACGTACACTCGTTAATTATAACTATGGGAGCTGTCACTGCAACAATAGAAACCAGAGTTCCTTGCCTTCGTCACGCTCCGCCTGTGATACTTGTTAACTTGTGCCCAAAGCGTACATAGAGTGTGTTAACATACAATGTATTAATAATTTCCTCCGTTGATCGTTATTTTTAACTGTATACAGTATCAGTTTTGCTTTGCAAGCTGTGTTTTGATTTGTGTGCGAGTAACATGAACTCTATATTATTTTTGAAATAATATAAATATACCTGAAAGGCTTTAATTACGAAATTCGTGTGAAGCAGATATTAGAAATATTATGAAAATTATATACGGAGAATTCTTTTGCACGCAAAATTGTATACACGGCATTCTCTACCAGTCATCCGTCGTCGCGTTGATTAGAGATAGTAAGGCGGTGCAATTTAATAAGTAGATAGTATTGAGATATAAATAAGCAAAATATATAAGCTCATGGATTATAATATAATATTAAAGTATAATAAATAGTCATTTCCTTTTCTTGAATTAATTGCATAGTTATTGGGTTAATTTCATATATTGTGTACGTCCTAATAATACATTCGAATAAATATTTTAAGACTGCCACATATCAATATGTTTATATACCTATGCTTAAAAAATCCTTGATATAAAAAAAATATGTGACCATATGTGGTCTCATGGTAAACATTAAGGTTAAAAAACATCGATGTTTTCCTTTTTTATGTTTTATATCATAGGGGACAAAGGAGCTTGCGGTTGGCCTCATGATAAGTGATTACCTGATGAGCACCTGTAACATAAGGTGAATTGTATATTATAAAAGAGGTCATTTTGTCACCTTCTTTTATAGATTTTACCGGTGCATCAATGTTTCGATATTATCAAAGACTTGATATCGAATCAAAAACATCAATATGTAACGACCGTTTTTATTAAGAAGAGTCAGGATTTACAGAGTACTTCTCTGTAAATCCTGACTCTTCTGACCAATCACAATTTATAGAAAAAAAACAACTTAAATTTCATTATTTATTAATAATAAAACAATTTAAATAACTTAAGATTAATAATAAATAATTCAGTGCCATTACTTATTGGTTAGTGTATAAGTTACATGTATAAGATTTCACAATAAAATTAACTAATTACATTTTTGTTGTTTCTTGGATTTTAACATCATTCTCCTCAGAACAGAATAGCAGAGCCAGAATATTATGTACAATTTGGAATCGGTATTAATTATCATGTAAGAGGCCAATATTGCAACTATTATTCCCAATACATTCAAAATCACTTTAATAGCGTTATTATAGTTGTTGTGTTTTCTGTAGCATATAGCGTTGGGTAGTTTATTACAGGTGGCGCTGTCTTCTTTGCATTCTGGTTTCAATATGGATTCTGCAGAGAAGAAACAATTTTTAATATGAATATTATAGCTAACTTTAAGATCAAGATGTAGGTATGTATAATAATTTATTAATTACATTATATTTGCGATAGTCTTAGAGATAGATATAGAAAAGGACTATAGCAAAGTTACTGGTAATGAATGTGACTGTACTGAACTGACGAAGACTAGATGTTACTATAGTATGTACTTTTATTGATAGTTAGGTACTTTTCTATACAATCAAAAAATATATAGACTGCTTTCTGCTTCTCCAGAACGAATTCAAAACGTTTCAAGTACATAATGCTATAATGATATTATCAGGCGCTCAACACTCTTGTTTTCTGTTTTCGGTATCTACCGTCGTTGTTCCCTTCTACGGCATTAAATTTATTTGTGAGATATAAAAAAGTTGTAAAAGTTATAAAAGTTGTTAATTAATATCTACTATTAAGCTGAACTTATCTACAAGTTCAGCTTTAGATATTTCTTAAATAACCCTGTCTACAAATGAATGGATTATACAAAAGTCATAGAATTAGGCGAAATTAGAGATTTTTATATTTATAAATAAAAATATTTATAAAACTAATTGAAACCAATTGACGTAATTTAATGTAATTCTAAATTAAAATATGAAAAATCATAATATTATGTTTAAAATACAATGATTTGTTAAACATAGCTAAATAGATTTATTGATATATGATAATGTATTATTGGGACGTACACAAATTAGAAAATTAAACCAATAATTATGCAATTAGTCCAAAGAAAGGTAATAGAGGTACTAAAGGTAGAAGTAATAAAGTATAGAAATAAGTATACCATCCATACCTTCCACAGTCTCACAAATCGTAGCCATCATCGCTGGATGAGTCCGCTCTGTTCCGGATGAGAATGATCTAAATGTTATTAATTTTAAACTTAAATATTGATTGCTTCCCACAAACGGAGACCTTGCGGTGAACAGGAAATGTACTCGGTACATGAAGATATTCGTCTCCAAGATCGTAGTAATTCGTGCGGAAACCAACAATAGAATTGCTAATTGAAAAAGTCTTAACTTAACTTCCTTAGTATCGTCGATTGACCAGTTTTTCAAATCGGTGTTGCGAATAGTAATATACTGAGTCTTATATACTTACTAAGCAAAGTCAAGTTATTGAGTACACCCTTAACGATTGCTTAAACAGAAAACAAACATGTGTTCTGTTTACCGTATAAAAAAATGTAGGACTAATTATTAATATTATAATGTGATACTAATTTATATACATTAAAATGTAAAAATAATATTCATTGAAGGCTTTGTGTTAGATTCACCATAATTTGTAATAGGTCAGGATAGTATTACATTGATAGGAGAAAACAACAGTTTTTATGTCAGTTTCGGAACTTGAAAACTGAAACCTAACAATAAATGTAAACGGTGGGTTGTTCAGTGGTGAAATGGATGTTCATTTGTAAAATATTACTTTCCTTAAAATATTATATTCATTCCTATAATATAACTACAATGAAACTAGCCTAATTTACTGCTTATGACATTAGCTATTTGCTAGTACAAAGATTACTAAGAACAAACAGACAAATACATATTCTGACATTTTTTTTTAATTTATCTTTTATTGTAGGCTCTGTATATACTTTCATATGCATTTAGTGAAAATCTGTTAATTTATGAAACGACAAATAGACACTTATATATTGTTTATTTCTATTAATTGAGTAATCGAATGAAATAGTTAATAAATATTAAATAATAAGTCGTAGGTATGTAGTTTTTTGTACTAAATCTAAGTCATATAGCTTGATAAATATCTTATTGATTTTTTCCTCGTATTATCACTGCACCAGAACACTATTGTCGCGTAGAACCACTAACATAATAGCTAACACTTTTTTACATTTTTGTTCTAAATGTTGCATTTTTTGTAAACTCTTCAGAGGTATAAAACTCAACTGCGTCAAAACGATTTGAAACCGCATCCAGCTTCGCTAGCTACACCGCAGGTATCATCCATATTTATTTTTAGGATCATCGCTAACACCATGCTAGCTCATGTCTTCGAAGAGATGATGAAGATGCTTCTTGCATCGCAAAGAAGTCGCAGCCACTCGAAAAAGTATCAGAGTCCATAATAGTAAAAGGCAAACCTGTCATTCACAGACGATTGCCAGAGGTATAGTTCGGTAGCATTTATCAAACAAACAAGATGCCTTCCCCCTGTGAACCGTGCAAAGGTAAGAAAGAATCTACTAATTACTTCTTAGACGGTATTACGTAGCTAACAACTGCCATTGCAAAGTGGTTGTCGCCAACTTTGCTTCTATATCTTACTAATATTATAAACGCGAATGTTTGTATATATGGATGGATAGACCAATATTTATTACTCTATCAAAAACTACTGAGCGGATTTTGTCGAAACTTTATAGTAATAGAGCTTATACATCAAAATAACACAGCCTATAAATTTCACCCGGGTGAAAATCGGGCACCGCTAGTCCAGTATAGTTCATGCTTTTTATGACTGGATTTGTAAAGAAATTCACCCATCTAATATAATTACAGAATAGATAGATATGACAGAATGTAGCGGTAAGCCTTTCTTCAGGACTGGGGTGTTAAAAGTACATAAGATTAAAATGACACAGCAAGAAAGCTTTTCTCCCTCAATCAGGTTCTCAAATAGTGCAAGTCCACCTATCGAAGGTCAGGTTTGTGAATTCAAAGAAGAATATAATCTTTATTTCATGTTTTATGTATTGTTGATAGATTCCTGCAAGGACGGGTCCTGCAAAGACAACTGTTCCTGCAAGGACAAAGGCTGCAACGATTGTTCTTCTACAGGTAAGATATTTCTATATCTATTACACTTATAGAGTATAGAATATTTTGATGTCAATATCAGTAATTTTGGTTCAAATCGCTTGTGAAAACGTATTTTATTTATTACTTTGTTTTCTTCTAATTCTACACAACAATTATTTAATGATATTATTTAATATTAGGTATAAACCTTGGCATTAAATTGGCTATGTTTTAAAAGAGATTAAAGTATTAAATACATTGTATAAACTGATATATGCTCAAGGTTTGTTAAATGGCCAAATTTTACTCTTGGTGTTTAATCGTTTATCATCAGATGAGCCGTATGCTTGTTTGCCATCATCGTGGTATCAAGAAATGTTATAGAAATTTTCTATTACAGGTGGATGCTGCTAAGTTAAGGGGTTGTTACGTACCATCAATATGGACCCCACTCGACGTCATCAACACCGGCCGTCTCTTTGTTCCAGGATCAACAAAGTACTGGAAACATGCTTCCCTGTCAGCTTCTCTGTTGTTTTCTTCATAACAATTGTTCTGTTCTACTGCCTAATATAAAAAGTCCTTAGTATTCTTTTTCTTTTATTTCATTAATACATTTCATCCTAAAAATTATACATCTGGGTGTCTTTGTCTCACATATTTATGATGTAAGCCAAGTATTGGTTGGAGGGTGGGACATGGCCATGTTCATGTTTATAGGCGACGATTGTTGCTTACAATCAGATGGCTAATCCACTAGTTTGTCTTAATTGTTAAAAAAATGTTTTTACAAACACAACGCCATCTATACTATTTTAAACTTGACGCGGTCATTATTTATACGTATAATTAGTAAAAATCACGGGATCTTACCACGTTTTATATATATTTGCTGAGTTCCCGGTATTTCGGCAGTGTTTGAACCACCATGATCACGGGTAAACTACTTTTTACTAATTACAACGCCATCTAGCAGAGCTTGTATTATGAGTACTAGGCAATTGATAGATTTACTTACATTTTGCGTAAATCTACACAATAAACATAGAAAATATCTAATAAATACTAGATGCAATGTTATTTCTGTAAAATTGATTTATGTATATAATTGAAATGGCAAAGAGGCTGAGATGCAAACTAGCTGACTAACTAGCTACCTAGCCCTTCTGATGGTGAACAGTAATATACCAGAACATCACGTTATCATGGGATATCCATGATATCATTCATGCCACTATTCGCGAGGACTTAGCTGTCATGCCTCTTATTCTGTAATTTCCCTGACTAATCTCACCCTGAAACTGAGAGGTACCTTAACAAATGACTTTTAAAAAGCCTATTTACTAATAGACTTTTTAAAAGTCATTTCATCATAGCCCCAAGAGCGCACAAGAGTTCTATTATTCAGAATCAATTATATAAGTGTGCAATACGATAATAATTAAAATTTGAAAATACAAATTTCTAATGAAACTATGTTACAGTAGTCTGTTTAACTATTTTAATAATTGCAAGGTATTAAATAAAATATTCTGCATTTTTAGGATTTAACTTTCATAAATAAGGGGATTTATATATGATTAAAGACGTTTTGTCATTTTGTCCATATACATACTCTAGTAGTATTGCTATTTCTTTATTACTTATATATATTTTTTACACTGAGGCCACCTTTATTATCAAGAGCCAATAAAGCCCTTATCTTAGATTTACCAAATATCCACCAGAAATTTAAAAAAAAATCAGTAAGGCTTTTCCAGTGGATTTCTATAAAAAACACTCTGATACGATATTTCGATATGTTAGATGTCATGGCGTACTTATTAACTTTCCGCTTCTATTTATTCTTTCTGATCAGATTATGATATCTGCTGTCAGCAAATAGCTAACTAAAAATAAACTTTAAACTATATGTAGAATTTTTTGTTGAACTTCTTGGAATCGTGGTCTCATCTGTTATTAAATATTCACTACCTGTGTATGTTAGATCTAACTTATGTAAAAAATTCTCGAAACACAATATTTTAAGAAAACTCCTCCTAAAGGCTTGATCGATTGTTATGAAATTTTGTCTGTTTATTCAGTAGGTTTGTGAATAGGACGTAAACTATTTTAACCCCTAATTGATAAGGGTGATCCATGACAATTTTTTTTTTAATATAATCATCAGAATTTTTTACATTTTTATCATTAAAAAATATATCGGGACATGTGTCCAATACAACAACAACAAAAATTCGAAAATCGAATATACATTGCCCGCGAATCCTGAAAGCCTATTTTTTAAACATACTATGTACCACAGAACAACTTCATTGCTCTGTTACGTAACGTACTGTTGTGTACGAGTATAACGTGTTTTAATGATAACACAAATATTCATCGTATTCGTATCACAGGCGGTTCTTTCTCAATTTTACACTACTACATTCAAATAATCTTACATTCGCATCCAATTTACTTTGTAGACTCTTAAATAGATGTAGCTACAATACTCAATCCTGCATTGCTATTTCTATTTTAATACGGTCACCATTACTCTCTCGCTTGCAACGCAATGACCCCTTATACAGGTACGACTTTTAGTTTGGTTACTGTCGAACAGTTTCCAATCTGTTTTCAATATTTATTCTTCCTTTCGTAACAAGACACATGCCGAAAAATTGGTATTACCGTACTATTGTTGAAACCTTCAAGAAAAGGCCTTAGTTCTTTCTTAAAGACCATCAAGGCACTTGCCATTCTCCTGGTGTTACCATCAGGTGAGCCGCAAGCTCGTTTGTATTAATACAGTGTTTACTCAATTCTACAGGAGATTTTGTACAACGCGTGCATGGGACTAATTCTATTCCGCCGTCAAGATTTTTTGCATTGCAAATTCACTTATTATGTGCATGAAATGTTGCATATATGTATGAAGAACAAAATTATGCCAGTGAAATTAATAGGCAATCCACGATCATCAATAAATACTTCTTAAAAATGGTAAGGCACAAATCTTCTTTAGGATTTACAAGACATTTTAACTAAAACCAATCATTAAGATCTGTATACGATAATTAATGTGAACTGTACGCTTTCTTTTATTACATACGGCTATTTTTTGTATATGACTTGGAAAAGATAATATCTTTTAATAGAAGTATCAAAAATAAGAAAGATTAACATGGGACGGGATAAGGCACATTATAAAAGACGTAGTACTTGGTAAATCCTTTTCTTATGAGGTGAAAACTGTGCCCAGTTTGTCACAAATTATATGTTATGATAATCAAGGATCAAAGGCAGGATAATATGTGCAAATAATGAAATAATTATGTAAGATATTTCAAATATTGTATTTATTACATGAAAGTAGCTGTAATCAAACATTGTCTAATTACTCGTACACATTAGCTTCCCAAGTAGCTGCTGTACCTCAAATATTGAAATTTTCAGCAACAACCTCCTGAAATTATAACAAAATATAATTATTATGATAAGTAAAGATTTGTATGTACGTATGTAAATATAGTTTTCGTTTTCTATTGTCTAATGACTTAAGTATAAAATAATAATGGTATAAATTAAATTTGGATACCGCTTGATTACCAGAAAGAGGGAAGTGAAATATTGAAAAAGTGTATAATAAATTTAAAAGTTGACCATATAAGATTGAGATGGCCCTGTACATACAGTAGTCAATAATTTAGTACCTTGCTTGGTGGAACAATCAGAACAATCAGCTTGGCAGGTACAGCTGTCTTTGCAGTTTCCGCCATTCTTGCACGAGTCTGAAAGGAAAAATACGATATATAGTATATGTTAATATATTTCAATAAATTGTTGTAGTAGTGACGGTAATGTCAGATTCTGGTTTATCTGAATTGAGATATATATAGGACTATAGTAAAAAGACTTCATTGAGAAGTTCTAAAAATTTTTTATTGTAAATTTGATCATTATTAAAGATATTCAGATATACATAGCTGCACGGAATTAAACGAAACTTGCCATAGACATCGAGTGATAGTGCTTAAATTAGTAAGTACACAAAGAGACAATAAATTAATGACTTTACTTATAAATGCTTACCTTTGCAGGGTTCACAAGGTGCAGGCATCTTGGCTATTGGTTGTTAGTTGACTGATGTAGATGTCAATAGAGACTGTTGATCTACAACTACTGAAGCACATTTAAATAGTGCAGTTTAACGAAAAAACCCTACGACTCGAACAAGGCTGTTGCATACGTATCAGAAACCTCGAATTTTTTCCAACTGTTACGTGGTCTTAGTGAATTGGGATTGTAGACAATTAAATAGATGTAAAAACAGGCAATACTACTGTAAACACTATACCTACTAATATAGTCAATACGTTGTAATGATCATAATCACTAACTTGACTTACATTACTGTTTAATGAAATTAAGAGCAAATTATAGTAAGAATATCGCTTTCTTGTATATGATATGTCTCTTTAATTGTCTTCATTTCTTTGCTTATAATACATTTGTGAAGAGGAGATGAAAAAAACGGCTAAAGCAATTAGGATAAAATTTTGACACAGTATGTATGTAATCATACAGGTTACTTGCCGTAACAACGTATTAGAAAAATACTCCGCTATTGAAGAAATCAGTAATTCTTATTTTTATTTTTAAGCCATTTACTATAAGTAAATTATTTATCATAAGAATAATAGGAAATGGCTCTGTATGAATGCTGTATTTGTTTTTGTCAATAGAAGGCGTCTACATATGTACACTCAGACGAAGTTGCGGGCACCACTAGTCTTGAACATGTACCTATTTGTATCTTTACAATATTTTGTCATTACATTTCTATTAACATGAAGGAAATAATTACAATCTTATATTGAATATTAAAATTCAATAAATTCATTACAATGTCTATAGACTACGTATTATGATGGATTGCTGCAATTATCATCATGTTGAAATAAAGCGATAGATTAAAAGTGTAATATTTACGTAAAAATATCTTACTAACATTATAATCCGCGATGTTCGTGAGTGTTGATGGATTGATGGATGAATGTTTGTTATTTTATCACGCAAAAACTACTGAATGAATTTTAACGAAAGTTTACAATAATATAGTTTATACTTCAGAATAACATATAGACTACAATTTTTTTTAAATTGCCATATAAATTAAATCCGCTATTAAAAAATAGGGGTTTGTAATAGAAGGCTGAAAAATTAGGGTTGTATGTATTTTATATGTACATTTTTTAAAAAAATGTTAATATAAATGATAAAAAAAATGTGCATTTAAAAAAAGGCTGGGGGGGGGGGGCAACCCTTATCACTTCAGCCAATTCTCAGACCTACTGAATATGCATATAAAATTTTATAAAAATCGATCAAGCCCTTTTTGGAGGAGTATGGTAACTAACATTGTGACTTGTGACACGAGAATTTCATATATAAGATTTATCTTGTGAAAAATAATTGTAAATAAAAAATTAAAAAAAAATATATTACATATCTGGGATAAATAATTCAAGAAGTTTCGATAATAGAAGAGAAGTAATTTTATTGGAGTGTACAATTCGTTACGGCTAGTTATCTCAATTGAACTTTTTGTTGTCGCCACCAAAACAATGATCATTCAATGTCAAATGCTTTTTCAATAACTTTGACGATCTCCTATTTCTATAACTATAATACAGTTGCATAGAGGTTTTGATATAAGTTGGGTGGTCGTTTAATTTTGCGGTGATTCTTCATAATTTTTATCATCTAGGTTGATATAGTTATCGATATGAAAGTGTTTGATGTAAGATTATGTAAGTATTGATAACAATAAATTATTATTAAGATTCTGGAGTGACTACTCTGTACAGACAAAATAGTTTTGGGGCCACCAACAGTTAGTTACTTAACCAGTTGATTATGTATTTAATATTTTGATTCTAATTAATGTTAGTTGTTAGTTGGTATTCACACATTTTAACTTAAAGTTACAACAATTATTTAAAAGAGCAACACGTAAATTTTTTGCACGTCCTTCTTGTGAAAAGTTTCCAAATGAGCGGTAGATAAAAACAAAAGTAGGAATGTCTATTCAAAAGTTCTTACATTTAAGTTACTTTGAATAAAGAATTTTCTATATTTCTATTACTGAATGAAAACATGTCCTCAAATGTGTTGTAAAGGGATGGTTTCAAGACTATTTCTCATGACGGTCTATGAGGAAGGCCGATAATAATATCGGTCTGTGAATAGTTTAAATGACGATTTACTTTTTCAGATTTAAAACCCAACACACCATGGGTTGGAGATTGCACGCCTGGCTGTGATTGTCAAGACATCGACCTAGAAAGTAAGTAATAGCTTTTGTTATTTAACTGTAGCTACCCGGCTTTGCACTTGTAAAAACTGCATTAAAATCCGTTGCAGAATTTAAAAGATTTAAGTGACCAGACAGCTGTTGCGACCTATTTTATACTATGTGAAGTTTAAGTATTTTATTATATTTTAACATAATCACATATTATATAAGTATATACGCACAAATAAGTTATTTATAAAAGTTATCTATATTAAATATATAGATAACTTTTATATTAAGTTTTATATTTATATTAAGGATATTAAATAAATCCTTGATAGTAAATACTAATAATCTTAAGATTATAATTTCTTTTCAGGTACTTGCATGAAGTAATGCTGCATAAAAAACACAACTAATTTTAATTTTACCTATTGTTATTAGAGAAGTATGTTCAATATTCCACAATACATAAGTAACAAGATTATGTATATGAACATAAAATTTAAGACTGTAAAATAGGAAATGCTATTTTACAGTAGAAGCTACCAGTCTAGATTAAATGAACTTAGAAATAACTACAGAGATCGGGGGCTATTATTCCCTTGATTTAAAAGATTTGACATTTAAGGACTAGCGGAAATATTCCCAGACGGCGTCTGAGAGTTGACTCTTGTGAATTTAAAGGAATATAGACAATTTAAGAAAAAAGATCACCCGATTGACTGGTATATAAAAAAAAATTGCCCATTAGCAGGTTTTGAATACAAAAAGAAAAAAACCTTTTGTTATTATTATGATTTGTTGCTATAGCTGTTATTAAAATTATATTATATATTGAGTTTTTTTTATTAAACATATAAGTAAATAAAACTTCATTCACTTTGAATTATACTATGTATAAATATAGTATAATTTAAAGAGTTTTCTGCAACTCGCAAACCATATGTTTAGGTATGAACACGAACTTATTTACTTGTAATAGGGTAAATAATATCCTCTAAGTAATCTAAGTAAATACTTCTCTCTATACATTCGATAATATCTTCATTATTTTTTTACTATATAATATTTTACATCGCTATAAGGACAGGCAGAAAATTTCATAAAATAAAACAAAAAAATATTTTTTCTTTTATTTAAATAGGAACTTCTATTATTCGACAATCATACAAACAATGCATTATTTGTTTTATTACTAATAATACTACTATTATTATTAGTAATACTATTCCGTTTCGTATAACAGTCAAAACAATACAATTTATGTTATAATCTATGTGATAATTTTTATGATTTTACATGATTTCCATTATTTCTTAGTGGTACGTATAGAATAGAATAGATTTAGAAATATTACCTTTTGAAATTAAAAAATAAATATTATTTATAATATTACAAATAAAGTAATGTTATAAATATTAAATAAATGGCATTCTTTATGGTGTTTCATGTTTAGTCCTACTTCTTAGGAGTTTGTGTGGCGGCAGAGTCGGCCGGCGTGTTAGGAGCTGGTCTGGTACTGTTACAGCCACAGCTGGTGTTACTCTGACAAGATGAGCAGGTCTGGCTTGACGCACACTTGCACTCTGCAAATTATATTAATTTATAGGTGATGATGATAAATTTTTTATATAGTGCTAGCCTACGCTAATGGTATACGCTAACGCGGCATTAGAGGAGAACAGAGGATTCAATTATAACAATATTATAACGATTTTTTCAGTTCTGTCTTATATAAGTATATTTGAGGCGACATTGGTCTATTGGTCTAGCACACCGCTTTACGTCCGATGGTCGCGGGTTCGATTCCTCGCATGGCACAAACATTTGTATTCATGAGTATGATTGTTTGTATCGATCTGGGTATATTCTATGTATAATATGTACGTATTTACGAAAAAATAATATCTGAAGTATAGTATCATGGTTGCCACTTTAGCCTTAATTTCTGGTTGTGTAACATTCAATAATTTATTTTTTCAAAGTACTAAACATTTTCTACGACCATAGTTCTGCGTTTGTTCTACTAATTAGAAACATGATAAGCAACCTTGGCTAAATAATTTACCTACTTCGTTTTTAAATTGCACAATAGTTACAACTCTTAACTTTTTGCACATAATTTCAGTATATTAGATTTTTTATATAATGGGAATAGCAAACTGACGGCAAATTGATGTTAAATAGTAACCGTCGACTATATTTATATCTAAAAGGCACTACGGACATCAATATGTCATGTCACATTTGTTATACCAATAATGCGTTGGCATTGCCACAGGACTTGCATTGCGTGCTTCTCATTGCACCCTACAACTATACTATATTTGCTGTTGAGTTAGTATTGCAGGATGTATATAAAGCAGTGAAATTACAGAAAAAGGGTCATAACATCTTAGTCCTCTTTAAATGAAATGTATCTTTGTAAATGTGCGTCTAATAGAAAATACTTATGTTAAGTCAAATCTATTATTAATTTTAAATGTAGTTCAAACCACGAAAAGCTTGAATGACATGAAATAGAAAACTCTGCCCTTACTGTTTTTAAATACCATTTTACATCCATATCATTACAATAATATATAATTTTTGATAAATAGAGACAATTTTGCAAAAATAACATTGGTCTTAATCTAATATTTGTTTTGTAATAAAACATTACAATCTCTCTCAATATACAAAAGAAATTTTTGATTTTCGCTGTTTGCCAAATATAACATTGAGACAATTTTCAATAAAAGTAAAAAATAACATGTGTAATATAAGAAACGTTGACACAAGACAGGTAGGTAGTAATATAATACAATACTGTAGGTAAATATTATTAAGATAACAAATAATATATATGAACGCAATAAATATACAACTAGTGCTTTGAAATTCAGAATTGTTAGCAACAGCTCTACATAAGGTTCTACATTAAAGTTAATTTTCTGATTAGCACATCGCCTTACTTCTAATGAACGTAGTTTGAAATATTTGTATTAATGAGTATAATAGTTTCCATAATTACAATATATTACATAAGTTTTACAAAAAAAAGTTATTAAGTATTGTACCATTTGTTTAGTACCCCTTTCGTAAAACTCTATTTTATATGTATATATATGAATGACATTGGTGTATAAGTGACTAAATGACGACGGTGTTAATTGTTGTAGTTTATTATTATTATTTTCGGTATTGTACTGGAAATCATTTAAATTTCAAACAATGAGTCACGCGTAACTCAATGTTAATGATCACAGATTATGTAAACCACAGCACAAACATGGCTTCTACACATGTGAAAACAAAGTTATTAACGGTGCCTGCAAATATTTATACTAAACTTATAGACCGTTTAAAATCCAAAACTTTCCTCAAAGGATGTAGGCATATACAGAGGAGGATATACGTGCATCGTTTCATATTCAACATAAAAAAATCGTAAATGTAGCTTTTTTCCTTAAAGGAAAAACTAGACATGTAACTATTTCGTTGCTTTATTGATATTCATAGTTAGGTATAGGCTTAAGATTCTTATAATTTTGTTAACAACCACACAACAATAAAAATGGACAACAAAAATATTATTGTATAAATTATACAAACGTCTCTCGTTGCAGAAAACAGTTGTCTTTTGTTTTAACTCAAGGCTACTTTAACAAAGTAAAGATTTTCAGTTTCGGATCTGCGAACTAGAAATTTTCTTCTAAAAATCTACATTGATATTGACGATAATATTAAAAACTAAATGAATCTGAACTTTTTAGATTATAAAAATAACCGGTTCATTTTATATAAGACAGACAATTTATATATATTTTTTCTATTAATTTTAATATCATTCATATGTATGTTAGTCTATAAGGTATTTATAATATGGACATTAGTAGCATGAATTAAATATATAAATGAAAAAAAGAAATTATATCAGTTTGTAATTTGTGAAATTATCACGCAATACACTACACTATAATGTTGTGACCTCGCTCATTATAAATTGATCTAATAATAAACACTCACGGTCTTTGCTTCCTCCACAAGGCATCTTGTATAATTTCAATTGATAATTTCAATAAACGCAGTATGTTATACTAGTTACATATAACAACTGAAGCGGCGTGTGGACTCTACCAACTCACTACTCACACTTATATTGTAAAAGTATACCTACTACAGAGTTTTATCGTAAAATTGTGTTCGGATACGTTATGTAAACAAGGAATACCGACATACCAACATGTTAATAAAAAAATATACTAATATCATAAACGCGAAAGTGTGAGTATGTATTTGACGGCTTCGATGGTCTAGCGATTTAGCACACCACTTTACTTCCCAAGATCGCGGGTTCGATTCCTCGCACGGTGCAAATATTTGTATTCATAAGTACGATTGTTTGTAATGGCCTGGGTGTTTTTGATATATATCACATGATATATGTCGAAATTATATATTTTTGTAAGTATTTAAAAAAAAGTAGTTATATCAGTCGTCTAGTTAGTTATTTTGGAAACACAAGCTCTGCTTACCGTGGGACTAGAAGGCGCTGTGTTATTATGAAAGTTTAACTTTTCATATAAATCGTCTTATGCACAGTTTAGCTATTCTTCGGCCCATTGTATCTTTTTAATTCTGTATACAAAACCTTAAAAACATAGTTTTTTCCACTACATGATCTAATTCTGATAATTAATAAATATATATAGACTTGGTTTCTAAACCAGTAAAGAAAAATATGATGTGCAAATGGCTTTACATGGGAATAGAAATATTTCTTATTTGTAACTTTCAGTTCACATTTTCACATTATTAAATCACTCTTGTCCACCCTACAGCCTTAAATAAATCGTTTATATTGCATATGTATTCTTTTTTTTTTGTTCCGTGAAGAAACAATAATAATATTTTCGTATTATTTCACTGTTATAAACTCTTTTATGATATAAAAGAGTTGATAAGATCTGTAGACTAAAACTTAAATCCATCCTTTATTTTTATATGGTCGATGAAATATATGATCTCTACCACTATAGAAAAAAATCTAAATCCTATATATAGGTACTTATATACAAAGAACACTTTCTTATATTATTATAAATTTAAATATGAATGTGCTTGCATTAATGTTGTATACATATTGTATACAACATTAATGCAAGCACGTTTTACGTATGTAAAGAATACTTAATATTTTTTTTAATAAATAATTAATAATACAATTTTGAATTACAATAGTGATTAAATCTATAGGCATTTCCGAACACGCATTTTATTATTACACATGGTCAATTAAGAGTCCTAACGACAATGATGCAATGTTTTATATACATTGATGCTATAATACCAGAACTTTTTTCTCGTCGTTAAATCATTGCGCGTATTGTACTTTAACAATATTTGATAATTGGAATAATATTATAGTAGACAATATACAATATTAGAATTAGTGTCGTGCGCGAAATAGCCGTGTGCAATTTACTGCCATAAAACCACTTGAAAAGTCATGTTTGTTCAAGATATCAATATATAATAATAATAATAATGTTTCATACAAAGAAATTGACTTCTCAACTCAACCACACACATACTACAACTATCAGCTCCTATTATGTATAGATTTATACAATTTTCTGTTTCTTTCAAGCAGAATTCAGATACACGTGTAGTGAAAAGTAGAGTATGCAGCATAGTTCATGTTTTTAAGAATGAATGATGCACCTTCTTGTTATTGGTACACGTTGGAGGATAATAGGATAAATATGAAGTCAGATCAGTAAGTCTTCATACCGAATTTCACCAGGAACTAACCTGACGTCGTACTTTGGTGGCGATGAGGTTATTAGTTCATATTACTAATTATCCCCTTCCCCCAGGAGGTCTAGGTTGCATACTCGTATGTCCTTATTCAGGCAGGTCACTAGAAACGTAACCCTTTTTTAGTTATTTGCATACTACGCAAAATATATAGATAACGGTAGGCACTTTCCATCAGACGGGTCGTAAGCTGGTTTACCATTACAGATGTATTACAAAAAGTCCCATACTGTATCATTTTCAATGGTTTTGGAAGTACTTTGTGCTAAAAAGTTGATAATAAAAATATGATGCAATTTACTTAACAAAAAATTATTTATTCTGTGTTAGACAGTGAGCTCACAGCGGATCATATCCGGATTTAGCTGGTATAATTATAGAACTGTACATATCTAACTACATTACGGTGAATCCCCTAAAGTTCTGAGAAAATTGCCACTTTGGGACAATTGTATACTACTAGCCGCGACTTCATCTGCATAAATATTCTGCATAACTCTATCTGACATGGTTCCAGAATAATTTTTGAGATAAAATAAAGCCTAATCCGTTTAGCCGTTATGCTGTAAAAAGCTAACAAATAGACAGAAATCCTTGTGCATTTAAATACCTGCTGTTTCTCACAACTTTGTGTGAATTTTATATAGATAAACTAGCAACATGTCCCGGTGTCGCACCTAACGTACGTATTTGGATAATGATATATGGATAATGATTAATATCATATTTATAGAAAGTATAATAATATAATAAATGTATATAAACAGAAGAAATTTGATTATCATAAAAATGGTTATAATGAGTTAAGCTTAGAAGATAGATAATAGTCGCGGAGTTTTTTTTAGAAGTATTCCGTAATTATGTTATCTGTGGTAATACATATTTTTTGCTAATTTTTTCTTTTCTTCTCCGCTCATATTGATATATATCGTATTATTGATCGTAGCTTGGTGTTATATAGCCTATAGATACCGTGTGCTAAAAAAAACTATCAGACAAAGAATTTTTAAAATCGGATCAGTAGAACCGATGATTACCTCGAACAAACATACCTACATACTAACTTTACCTCTTTATAATATGAGTACAGAAGATAGCCTATGTCCGTTCTCGTGATATGCTCTAACTTCATTATTGTGTGATTATACATTATGCATAACAGGCTTTCATTAAGATCCGTCGTCGGTTAGACGGTTTTTGTCTGGTTGTTAAACATTAAACGGCTTTAATGTTTAACAACCAGACAAAAACCGTCGCATTTATAATATATACTAGCTGTACACGCGACTTCGTCCGCGTGGAATTTAACTTTATTTTACTAAAATAAAAGTAGCCTAAGTTACTCTTTATTACAGCAGCTACCTACCAAAATAAGTCCCATCAAAATCGGTCCAGTCATTTCAGAGATTAGCCGGAACAAACAGACAGACAGACGAGAGACAAAAATTGTAAAAAATTAAATTTTTGTGTATGTACCGTATTTATATTCATATCCATGTAGTAAAAACGGTTATTTCAATATTACACGCAGACACTCCAATTTTATTTATATGTATAGATTAGTAAGGATTAAGTGCTGCCAGTGCAAACATCGGACGTGTCACATATCAGGAGTAAATTTTAATATTAATTATATGATTATAATATTGAACCTATAGTATCCAACCGAATTAAATGACAATTTGACAAAATTATTTTAAATCATTCATCAATCATAATAGATCTAAATAAATGTTGTCTAGTTATCGGTTTTATTATATGGTATATATCTACTAATAACTAATATTTAAAAGTAATTATATTCCATACGAAAATAAATAAAAGAAAACCATTGACATTATACAGAAGTGGTAATATCCATACAAATTTTAATTTATTAATATTTCTTTTTCAAAAACGATAAGAAGGAGACAATGTCCCTACAACTTTTAATTGAGCAAAATTCTTTGTAAATACTTTATGCTCTCTGAATTATTTAGGCACTCCATATTACACTCCACATGAAATAACGTCATTCATATATAAATAATATTATATATTAAATAAAATTTATATAATATAATAATATATTATATAAATTTTATAATAATATATTATATAAATTTTATTAAAAAGTTTTAATTTACCAGAAACGAATTTGGAAAAAGAAAGGAAGATAATTATTAGCATGTATTATAATACTTAAACAAAATAAATCTATGATGCGAATTTTAATAATCTGTGGCGATGTCGGCTTGCGCGGGAAAACTGAAAATGGTTTGTCACTTTTTCTACGGACAGGCTTTTCTGCTCCAGTTTTTATTGTATTAAACTTATATTACATAATCAATAAATAAATTAATATACTTACGTAATATTTGAAGATGCGTGACAACAAAAAAGAGTAAAATTTTTCCGAACAGGTACCTAAATACATATATTACCGCATTTATAGAATCTGAAGTTTGAAAATCTACCGTGTAAAAAAATACTATGGCACTAAAAAATATTATGATTTAATGTTCTCAGGATCAGTATATAGCTATATTTCTATATATTTGTTTAATGGTTGTGTTGTATGGTACGATCTTTTGTTGCACAAACTGACACCTAGAATAGTAAATAATAATAATAGCCCAGTTTTCATAGAGCTAACTAACATGAACTTATACTATGGTCACTAAACAGTTGATATAAATATTTAAACATTTATTACATAAATATATAACTTAATATTTACACTTTTGAATATATATACACCATTGCAAAACATACTCATGAATATCAATATTTGTAACAAGCTAGAATCGAATATACTAATATTGAAACTAATGCAGCAATTACTATAATATTATTCGTATAAAAACTCGTCTAACTATATTGATAATGATTTTTTATATATAAATAAAAACGTCCACTTATGCAATCATCTCTCAGGCACTAGTCCTAGGGATAGTCAATATAATGAAAACTTTAATGTTGATATCGATTTATAAATTATCGGTATTTATCTTACATCGATATATGATAAATATTATTGTTAGAAAACGTCGACATTTTTCTCGGAGTTCACCTGATTTTCTATATTTAAACTTTGCGAATTTTGTGCTGTTTTTTTATTTCATATATGGAGGATGCTTTCCGCATGGATAATGTTCACGGACACGAAGTCTATGCATTTTCACAATAAAAGATCGTGTATCTCTTTACATAATTGCACAAAGGCATCCGCGGAGGTTCAATATTGTCTTGTAGGACATTTTATCTGTATTGTCTTACCTGATTTCCTATTATTTTGAATTTTGAATTACCTTCATTTTGTTCATCAAGTATTAGAACTATCAGATCCTGTCTATTTTGTATTATTTTGCGTTTTGCATGACCTCATTTTAGAATCTACTCTGCTTTTTTTTAGCAATTTCACCCTTTTCGGTTCTATTTGTATTTGCTATATTGTACACTTAACATCTAAGTGGCAATGTAATTAAAGACTCGACGTGGATATGAAATCGATGTTTTTGGTCTAAACATCGATGTTTTCTACACATCGCTGCTTATCGATTATCACTTAAGATAAGCGATGTGTTAAGACAAAACATATTTCAAAGAAACAATCTGTAATTAATAGCTACATCCGGCGTGACTAGCTTCGCGTAAATTCTTCCGAACAGGAAGTTGTACTGAAAAACAAATGAATTTCAGTGAATCAGAGGTGCGTAATCAATACTTTTATCGAGGTCTAACTACCTCGTTTATCAATACCGTGATAAGGTAAGCAGGTACTTCGATGTACGTATCTTCTGTTTTTATGAATCCTATGAGTATATTTTTAGTTATTACTTTATTTTCTGTCATTCCATTAATACTCTTCTCTTAAATTGTAGCTTGGTACCTTGTTTGGTATGTTTACAAAGTATAAAACAAAGTCGCTGTCGTTGTCTGTTCGCTTATATCTTTTAAATTACGCAACATATTTTAATGCACTTTCAACAAGAGTTAGGTTCATAAGTATAATACATGCGTGTTATAACATAGAACAAGTCGAGAAATTCAAAGATTTGTAATACAATCATGAGAAACCGAGACGGGTAGCGACCCATACCGGCTTCGCGTGTCCCCCACCACCCACCTCTTGTTCTCTACTAGTGTGTAGTGAACAAGAGGTGACAGATATACCAAAAATCGTTCTACAATCTTTTGAAAGTCCTTGGCTTGCCCAGATCGACAAGTTTTATGCTAGAATTTTGGGTTGCGTTAGATGGTTTGTATCAGATAGTTTCGGAATCTATTCGAAGTTTATTCTTCTCTGAAATGCTAAGTTTCTTAGATACAGAGGTGGGTAAATTAGTGAAAAATAAGTAATTTTATTTTGAGGCGGCGGCCATTTTTAATACTGGAATATATTAAAATGTATTGTCATCAGAAGTAAAGGCGTGTAAGACGAAAAAAAAATAATATGACAGAATTCCAATTATGTATAAACTAAAACAACAAACCAAGCATGCTAAATAAAACTAATTTAAAACAGAAATAATGTATAAACATGTTAATTGCTTGTAAATGTCACAAAAAGTATATAATTTTTCATTATAATAATAGTTTATTTATTTGTCAGAATATGATAATGAAATGAAATGAAATTATTTAGTCGCGAAATATATAAGATGATGAACTAGATAAGATGTTACATAAAAATATTATTGATCAGCAATATTCGAAAAACAGGCGCGCAAATTGTATTCAAAGATTCCTTTTTGTCAAATATTCTTGAAAAAAAAAATTATTAATCGACAGTCAATTTTTTATTTAGCGTTTAAACAATGTATGAGATGTCACTTCTTATTACATCAGCTACCTGGCAAAAAAAGTCCCGTCGAAATCGGTCCAGGCATTTCAGAGATTAGCCGGAATAAACAGACAGACAGACAAAAATGGTAAAAAATGTTATTTTGATGTATGTACCGTATTTACATTCATATGCATGTAATAAAAAATGGTTATTTCAAACAGACACTCCAACTTTATTTATATATATAGATGTACAGATTAGGTAATACAAGTATCATAATAAGTATATATTTAATTAAAGAAAATTAAACGAATGTATATTGTATATACACTATAAAATAAATGACATAAAACTATTAAATCATTATTGATTTGTGTTAGGGAAAATACTTTATGTGGAAGCGTCTGTCTCGTACCATACAGGTTCTGCGGATTTCTTGGGCTTCAGGGTCTCGAAGATATTTTCGCTAGCTTTCCAGTTTCACAGTAGGTTTAACTCAGTTTTAATTTATTTTAATATACAAATAATGCGCGCGCGTCATGGCCGCCGTACGGTCAGTTCTGTCATAGGTAAGGGGGGGGGGAAGGAAAAGCGCGGGAACAGAAACTAACGGACTCTAATATAATAATCTGTGCTTACGATGGTACAGGGTAGATTTTGAACAATTTGTATAAACTCAGCACAATTTATCACTTTCAGAACATTTCAGAAGTTAGTATACAGGTATGTCACAATCACATTATGAATTAATAAAATAAATTAATTGACTAATATTTATCACTGCATTTTTCTAATATTATAATTGACCTATATCGTTTTATCAGGACTATATATTAAAACTTACAAGTCGAACGTATAATAATAAACTGAATTGCATAACTAAATTTGGGACATCGATCAAAAGGGTGTATTTAAGGCTATAGCTACATTGAATGCTTTATGATTTGTCCTTTTTATCTGAATCTCGGAAAATCTATATTATCTGTCAAGATACAAAGCATTTTCAACAATAAATAATGGCTGTACTAATTTTGTACTGTAATATACTCGTGTAATAATTAATATTCTCATGACACTAGCTATAGTTAGTACATTTTGGTACGATGGTTAAATGATTCTCACACTACAATATGTCAATATGAAATAAAAATATTTTTTCATTGTTACATATATAACTAAGATATTTATGTATCAAGATACCCTTATTAATAATTATTTTTAAATATTAAACACATATATAGTTAAATATAGTATAAGTTACATAGTACACATAGTATGGGTAAAGACTTCCAAAGGCGTTCAGCCTTTATGTGGTTTTCACTGAATCCTAGGTCAAAATAGCACTTACAATGGTATTAAGATATTTTTTTTATCTTAGTAATTAGTAAATAATAATATGAACCACCCCTGCTATGAATGGCAGTGATTGTGTAATATAAATAATTTGAACTTTTTTTGTTTGCAAGCCATTCATATGTTAGTGAAAACCGCTAATGTATTGTAACCCAAGAAATTATAAGTCATCTTACAAAATAATTTAATTGTGCTTAAACACCAGTTGTAATGAAATGTTACAAATAAGTAAATAATGCTATGTATAGGGCTACGTGGATTAGGACGAAGAATTTGGCGCACCTTTATATTTGCTATCTTATCGTTGGTATCTATAAACAGATATGGTCATATCAACTAGCACACATAATACGGCACACTTTAGTCTGCAACTCAATAGTATAGCACACCTGCTGCCGTAAAAAAATTGATAAGAAAAATTAATTCAAAAATAATGTGATAGTGTTAAAAGAACAATGGGATTTAAGGTCAAATTAGTTTTAACTCTTTTAGTTATAAGTGCAAGTGTTAAAGGACAAGATTACGATGAACAAGCAGAAAGTATAGTTGTTGGTAATGAATTGGACAATGTAGTGGCAACAGAGCCAAGTGTAGAAGAGGCGATAACAGAAACAACTGCGATAGTCGATGATGCTCCTGTGGATGTACTTTCTAATTCTATATTAGAAACGAGAAGTGGCAAATACCAGAATTTCGATGATACGTTAACAGGATTAGAAGCTGAGCCCGCGGCAGTAGAAACACCGGAAGTAAATGCCGACCAGAGTGGAAGACAACTTTTGGACCCAGGCTCTACAATTGACACATATAACGAATTTGGTAAGTTTTAGTTTTAAGAAATTCTCTAATTATCTGCTTTTTTCATAACGTTATTAAATGATTCAAGTAAAGGGTTCGTTCTCTTCATAGCCATTAAATCAGGATAATGAATATGAAAATCGTGCCTACTAAGCCTTTGGCTTTTGGTATAGTAACCCACCCGTTAATACCTTGGTATTCATTATTATTATTCATTCTCATATCTTCCACTTTTGTCTCGCCATCGTAAAATCGTTATGGTCTACCCACCATAGATGGGTCTTAGATGGGTCACCCGTCTTAGATGGGTGGCCATTGATAAAAAATTCTGTATGATTAAATTATACTATAATTACGTCCCAGTTAACTAGCTGGTAACAGTAAATATTATCATCGAGTGTTTGTTTCATTACTCAGAGGTGATATCACTTCTTTATAGAATACGGCATGATTAGTATTATCTCTATCTATAATTTGGTACGTATGTAAGGTATTTACACCTTAAATATATAAAAGTTCATACCTTATAATGCACTTTAAGCTTTTTGTCTATGTGACCGGGATAATTTGATTGATCTAAAGCACATTATATCCTTTATTTTAAATGATGAATGAGTCATTAAGAATCTATAAGATGACAAACAAATATTACATATTAGCGAGGAAGTGAAGATTTTATATTTAGTCATAGAATGATGTCTAGTAAGGAGTTCTGATAAAATAGATAAAGATCTTTATTTTAGTAGGTACATAGTTAATAGCACATTGTCAATATAAACTTTAGTCATAAGTATAACACTAAAAAACATATTAGTAGATAATGACACGTTTTTTTTACAATGGATTATAATGATATCGTCTCCGCGGGCCTATAGCCTGTAGGGTGGCGGGGTACTAATGGAGGATGGCAATCGGATCATTCAGCCTTTAGTGGTGAATTGCCTAGGAATTAACCACGATTGTTCTCCTTAGATAAGGAGGACCGCATGGAGGTTAACTAGACAAAGTATATGTTATATATGTTAATACTACTAGGTATATATGTTAATAACAAACCTCTCCACCCTAGTGGCACCTTTTGCTTCTGCATGGACATACTCAGCTTCTGGCCTATGGAAGGGCAAGTAAGATTTGCTTTCGGATTTCGAGCTTCGGATTGAAGGAAAAATGGAATGAAGGATTGAAGGTTGGATAGAAGTTGGGACACAGAAGTTTGTTTTTTAAGGACTTAACACATAATGAGACTTCCCCCCGGGATACGCCCATGATTTTATCCAAGTTGTTTAATCAATTGTAAGAGTAAGAGTAGGCACAAAACTTATTGTTTTAAGAAGACGCGCTCCTTAAAATTCTCCTTTTTAATTTTTCCCCTTCGCTATGAAAGACAAAAGATCACGATACAGCCATTTTCTTCAGTCAAACAGTGATATTACAATTTCCTCGAATTGTAAAAAGAGTTGCCATAATCATTAAATACTGTTTAGTAAATATTCCAGAGTTTTTAAATAGTGAGATATCTTTGTAAACCAAATAAAGTCTGACTTACCTAATGATAAATACAAGACTACTACTTGTATATGTGTATATGAAAACATGTGAATAATTGTTTGCATTAAATGATAAATTTATTTACTTAGTTGATCTTAGTCAACTCTTTATGTAGCAAATATGAATTCAAACAATAAAGAATATTTATTGATCGCAACGTAAGAAATATATTTGATTTTGAAACAACCTTATTAATTGACTGATTATCAGTATTTTGTTTGCTCTTGGCTGCCATTTTCTAAATACTTGATTCTTGTAAATCCTAGTTTAATTTTACAGTGGATTACACTTAATATCTATCTATCTCTCCTCTTAATGCGGATCTCTTACGGGGTAGCCAGAGAGAATAGAGCGCTATTAGTTTCTATATTAGCTATTAGCTTGTCTTTATATATAATTGTTGCTTCATTTATATTATTATGACTTGCCTCATGCGTGCACAACGATTTCGGAGATTCCTGTCTACCCCATTAGAGATCAATCTGATCATGAGATAGCCTGGACTTCCCTAGGTCCTTAATATATTTAGAAAAATACCCATACGGGTTTCACTATAATTTCGAGAATTAGTTCAAACAATCCTATATATTTATTATATGGAATTGTATACTCCTATGTAATAAATACTACACGCCTCAAATGAATAGGTATTAAAAACAAATATAATTGATTTACTCAAAAGTACTTTATTTAAAGTTTTATAGTAGATCTACGTAGTAACTGATAATAAAGTTATCAATGAAACATGAACAAACAAAATTACATTTTTATAATATGACAGATTTAGGGTGATATACCTAGGTACATAGCCGAGGTTGCTAAAAGCACACAAACGTGTTACTGTACATATTGTGTATCACGATTTAGTAATCAGCGATAAGGGCCTACGGCCACGCCTAGGCGCCTACATATAGATATAACCCGACTAATTATGGATGTTCCCAGCTCAGAACAATAGAAACGAATGTCGGAACATTGGGAACATGAATTCGCCTTATAAGTCTACGTACTCGCTGAAAATGTAGTTTACTATTAGTGAGAACTTTTTTACATTAGGTCGCTTATTATTCGAGTTTATACACTATCAACAAAAAAAAAAAGCAGCTCTGTCTTCTTAACAATATTGTCATAGATTATATATAAAAATTAAATCAATTGAACACATAACAATTATTAGAAAATTATTTTCATGTTTCAAACACAATGAAATTATTTTTTAAAGAAAATTTAATAGTGGCCTTCTATTATTAGCGATTTTATATTTCAACGTTTGTTCAGTATTTTTATATAGGTACTTATGAGTTATATAATTATATTTTGAAAAATCTTAATTATATTTAGTTCTAAAAAAAGAAGTGAAATGGAGACTAAATTGGTAAGGGATTAAGCACGATTATTAATCGTTATAAGTAATATCAATAAGACTCATTACGTACACAAATGCTATTTATATATAATACTGTAAATATTGATAAACCGCTATATGTACTTGGCACTGTACATACAGAGCAAGCAAAAGCATAATAAAAATTCGTATGAATTTAATATAAGAAAATTAGTATTTTTCTTTAAGTAGGTTAATTAAAATATTTTGGACTAGTACTGACTATTCCAACATAGTTCATTGATTTTCAACAGAATCTTTATGCAAACCGAAAAATTTACTAATAGTACTTTTATACTGAAAAAATAAAATACTTAAACTTCTGTAATTGCTAGAGTTATACGTAAGTAGATACTGTAACCAATTAACTGAAGATAAGGGCCCGTCCTTTATCATACTTAGTAGATACATCAACCTTCTTTTCAGACATGCAGCACGTATTAATGATTTCATGTTTAGTTTAGTGAGCTCGTTGAAGAATTTTTGGGTCAATGACGATATTTAGTTTTGTATTTTTTGTTCTACTGGAACTCCGTCATACAAGTATAAACCGATTTGAAAAATTCTGAACTATTAGGAAAGATATTTTCAAATGTTAGTAGTTTTTTTTAATAAATATAATATAGTGCTTAACGTGTTAGTTAACGATGAAATTCGTTAATTTTTGTTTTGCCAAATACAAAAAAAATATTTTTTAACTACAGCATTACTATATTATAATATGCTTATTAATATACTAACACCATAATACTAATAATAATTTTATTTGCAAATCAGTTTGTGTCTGTAGCTTAATAGCACTTTTCAAAGATATCTTATACTGTTATAAGATCTCATTGAAAAGTGCTCCAACTAAGGGACAAAAAATAATTCTAATAAAGAGACATGGAAAAGGATGGACGGAAAGGCAGAGGACGACCAAAAAAAAGATGGATGGATTCTGCGAAAGATGATAGTAGATAGTAGAGAGTATGCTCAGATGGCTGATAGAGATCAGTGGAAAAGGATGATATACTGCGCGACCCAAAATAATGGGATAAATGTAAGAAAAGAAATCGATATAGAAACTATAGAAAATTAAAATTTGTGGTGCTTTATTCGATATACAAATAAACAAAAGTAAATAGGTACTAATAGTAATATTTTGCTTTGGTACATTTTGTATAAAGTTTTCTCCATTGGCATCTTAATCTCACGAATTTCTCTACTTTATAACCTGTTATTTGGTTCGAGGGTTCGGGGAAAGGAAGATATGATATATTTGTTCCGGAATGGCAAGGCATGAGTAGTACCACGGGTATCACATGATAACGTGATATCCACGTGTATAAGTGATGGTTGCCACTAAAGGTCAGGCGGGCTATGACTAAAAATATAGACAGAAAATGTAGAGGAAATCTGGAAAAGTCAGGTTACAGTTTAGGTTTTCATATATTTCTTATATATATATATATCTATAAATGTCTATAAATTTTGTGATATATATTGCACAACATTATTTATTGATAATAATATATGACTCATGGCATCGCTGACTATAAATAATTATGAATATTATTTTTATATTAATAATCATTATGACAGTAATACATAATTGTTATGAGTATAAATCATTTTTCGCCCAAGATTTTAATTCATCGGAGAAATACCTATTCGGAGAATAAATTTAGATGTTGAATTCAGGACAGAACTCAGTTGACATAAAAATTTAGGGTTTCGTTCAGTTCTCTTGTGAACAACAAAGGGGCAACTCAGGATATATATGACGTTTCTCTTTTTTTAACCTATACATCGTAGGAATAGGTTTTCTTAAATCTGTTCTAATATTGATTGTCGTTATCACATTATATCTCTTCAAACCCGCAATTTTAGGTTATATAAATAAATGATTTCCTTACCTAATAGGATATAATGTATATACTAAGACAAAGGAATATAAAATCTATACTTAATAGCTTAACCACTGTAACTACAATAGTAATAATCATCCTTTCATTAGGAAAGACACGACGCTAGCAGCGCAACCGACAAATGTTAAACGATGGTTTGAAGTTTAAATTCATCCAACTTGATTAAAATATATTAATCTAGGATATATGCTCTATCTGTAAATCAATCCATCGTAGTTTTAGCGTAATATAGTAATAAACAACAAACTATCCATCCATCCTCACGAAATATTAAGTTGACACTATTAATAGAATTCTTAAAATCCACGGTGGATTGTCACAATAAGCATAGAATACTTAAGTAAGAACATATAAGTAAGTAAGCAACTCTATTAATCATCATCAATGTGTAATGTTTATTCTCAAAACAATTAATCACAGTTTTATCATTGAAACTTAAAAATTATATGCGATACTAGAATTGGCAGACATAGTGATAAAATACATACGTGCACTAAGAAAACTTCGATATTTCAGTATACTTTGTATTAATATCATTGTTGAATTAAATATATTTCAGTATAAAAAATCACATACCGTCACGACTATAATGTTTCATCTTATTTATTTGTAATATAGATTAGTCGAAAGCATTGTGAACTGTCGATATCAGGATGAACGCGCCAGTTGACATATCTATATTTCCCTGGCTATTTTTGAATCCAAGACAAGAGGCGAGCTTATCGCCGTCTTCCAGATCATTTTTGTTGTTATCACCGGAGAGTCAGTCAGAAAAAACAGGGTTTTTGGTGTTTGCTAGATTGTTCAAAATCAAGAACTTTAATTTCAAGTCAATGTAGTATATTTATAGACCAGGATGAACATGTTTTATATCTAACAATTCCGATATGGCATAGAGGGTAAAGGTTGTCATACTGTGTTCAGTACAGGTAATTGAGACCTGAAACTGCTAAGTGTAATCCAATATTTTGTTCCACAACAAACTAACTTTTATCCTAGCAAAACGGGTATGTAATAGACCACGTTTGAAGCAAATTATAAGCCAAATTTCAGCTTCACTAAAGTAAAATATCGAATAAAAATTAGCGTAATAGAAGAAATTCAAATTATAGATTTTTATTTGAAAATCTATTCTTTGAACGTAGAGTATTATTTGCAACTGCGAATCGTCTGATATTAAAACAGCTTATAATTGAAACTCGCAAATGATCAATATAAAATCGATTTTATTCTGTTATATATGAATATTGTTAGGAACTGCGATTCATGACATAGTTGATAATGTAGGATTTAAGAAGTTGCATCATCAAACAGCCAATTATATGTACATTAATATAAAATTACAATAAGTTGTTATTTAGAAATACTAAATATTAAAACAAAGAGAGTTACGTTCATATCATTTGATATCACATTTAGTAGAAATCGCTTAGCTGTCCGATATGGTTGATAAGTTACACTCGTTATCATATTTATCAGCGGATAACGTTGATATTGTATTATTTTTTACCCTTCTTTTAGCCTTCCATTCGTTACATTATATCTCTATATAGAGAATTTAAGAAATATTAAACACTATCATAGATTATTAGTACATGTAAAATAAAATAAATTCATATTATTGTCTGTCGTTTAATATATTGTCTGTTAGTTTTATTTATTAAAATAAAAGATTTAGTATTGAAGTTCTCTCTTTTATATATTTCGAGTATATAAAGTATTTATTATGTGTTTTCTTATTCATTGTAAATAATTACCAAAGTTTATAGATCCATGTTTGCATCTTGACTGGAAGAATGCACCTTTAATGGTTTTAATTAGTGTGTCATTAAGTCCTGTAACGATGACTCATTGCAACAATGCATGTATATTGTAAATCAGAGATAGAAAAATTGTAAGCAAAATCATCAATATCAGATCTGATAAGAGGACACAATTTGTCACATCGGTTGGGCCTGTAGAATTAATTAGAGAGGTGCTATTGACGTATTAATTTTATGGATTCATAGTGTTTGTGGTGTAGTTAATTCGTTATCTATTTATTTTAAGATATTCGTATATTCATCTAAACTATCTATATTTCTATACTGATATTATAGGTTCTAATTTATATTTGGCTGTGTGTATTTATCTCTTTGTTAGCTTTTCACGACTAAAGAACAGATATCAATGAAATTTGATATGAAGGTAGATTTGTACACAAGGGACGAGCATAGGCTAACATTTAACGTATAATATTTATTTTTTTATCTTTTTTGGACTGAATAGGCCAAATAGATTAATCAACTATGATCCTTATATTGTATAATATACACATTATTCTATTATTGAATGATTACATATTAATTTTGATATGCCGTTACCTAAAATTAGAGATAATGTAATTTTTGGAAAGAGCTCTTAGATAACATATTCTTAAATCTCATAATAACGTAATGAAAGAAAACCAATTTTTACTATATTATCCCATTTTATAATTAGTTTTGCCAACCATTCTGTCACACACTGGTCCTAAACTACATTTTAACGACCTCGGTGGTCTAGCAGTTACACTATTTACACTATTACAGTACACCACCTTACCTTCCGATAGTGACAGTGATACAGCTAATACTGCTACTCAAGCGAGCTAAGTAGAATTTTATCCAGAATGAACTAAACTAAACTTCGGAATGACAACGATTTCCACTAATATACAAAGTCGTTTTGATACTGAAGATTGTACCCGCTAAGTAAGCGTGTTAAGTTTAACAAATATAATATGATTTTGAAAGGATTTTCATCGGAGTTAAATTCCTATTTACTATAGAACTAAAATATGATTATTTTCTATTAATTTCAGCTCATATTGATGGAAGGGTTCTGCCATCGACAACGTATCAAAACAATGGCCAGCCATATGTTATCTCGACAGCCAGGCTTAACCAGATACGGGCGAACTTCTTGTATTGGTTCTACGACCAGGGCGGCACCGACAACATTGGTGACTACCAGAGGGACATCCATACATCCACTCCACAGATTCATAAGAATTTCAATTTTCAGTTGCCCTTCTTCGGGTTCAGATTTAATTACACCAGGGTAAGTAAGCTAAATGTGAAATTACTAAAACTCACATTTGTGTAACAAAAATAATTTCACAATAAAAATAGCAATAATATTCATATAAATGAATGGATTACGTCTAGAAACTTTACTGGCATCATGTAAGTCCATATGATTTATTTTTATTAGCTAAAATTTTGTATGACTATGTAATCTAAACTATCCAGAAATAATGGTATGATGATTTAGATGCATGCGCTAAGTTAAGTTCAAACTAAGCTCTTAATTGAACTTCATGAACTCAATGAAATGTTATGTAGTATTAAAAATATAGCTCTGTTTTATAATTTTACATAAAATTTGTTTTCAGTTGTCAATGAATGGTTACATCTACTTCAGTGATCCGCCAGACCACTACACATACCCGCTTTCATTCCCAATAAGAGACTGGCCAAATGTGAATGATCCATCATTCATTGGTATCTTCTTCAGCAAGTGTCGTATTGGTAACCAACGGCCAGAGGACCCTGATCAACGGAGACCTGGTGTTTATTTTAGATTGGACAGAGATTTACAGGTAATTTACATATTATACTAACTTACCCGCGCACGTACGTCTACATCACAATTGACATTTATTATTATATTTCGTCCAATTTCCATAATATATCTTTAAATTGTAAACTATGTATGATCCTGATGGCTATACAGGCTATACTACTGCAAAGTTTCATCGAAATCCCTTCAGTATCTTTTGCGTCAAAAAGTAACAAACATCCATCCATAATATTACATAGTATTAGTATTATATATCATTATTAAGTAGGATTGGTGTCTAAAATGAATACTGAAGATAGGTACTCTGCTTTTAATTTTCCTTCAAGTTTCAATTCTTCAACCACATTGCTCACAAATACATTGTTAACAAATGCTGAATTGGCCCTTATCAAACAACTACGATATACTTATTATATTTTATTACTGAAACATGTATTAAAATATATACTAGTAAATTGAATAGAGAGAAAAAAAACAGCAGAGAACTACTCGTTCTCTGATAAAAGTAATTTGACCGAAATGCTGCTCAGATATAAGTTTAGTGGGACTCGTCTGAGTTGGATTATCATCTTAACTATTTCTGGCACACAAATAGCATTATTATATTCGGCTGAGATGGTAAAACATGATCACCGCGACAATGAATTGATAGATTACTCTACAATCTACTTATAAATGAAGGCAATTGTGTATATACGTAAAGTTTTCTGGATAAATTTCGTATATTATTTAGATCTTTTGATATAAGGACATTTCGAATCTCAGGTATCTCACAACAGTGGTTGCTTAAGTATCTAGATATAGAAAAAAAAACCATGGGAACTAAAATAAAAATAATGTAATTTTTTGTATTTGTCAAATAAGTCGTACAATTCGTATGCACAAAGCATTTTATCTTCTGTATCTATATTATCATTACATATAATAAAATTGTGAAATTGTAACGAGGCGATAACTGTTTGTTTGTATGTTCGTGTGTTAATGTGTCACTTAAAAACGAATTATGGAATTGAAATGAAATTTGAACACGTTGTATGATATGAATCCACAAAGTTGAGAGAATACAAAGGAGTAAATTTATATTTATAGTAAATTTTTATTAATATACCATCGACTATTTCATTAATTAGTTATCCCAATATAATGGAGAAAACCTGTCCTCAGCAGTGGGATGAAATAGGTTAATAAAAAAAAATAGATGTCATAAAGGTATGATATCGTTTGATTGTTATTGAAAAGGGTGTCTACATAGAATTAATGAATAAATTATACATAGAATTATATTATACATGCCGTTGGCAAAGCTAATCTTTACACAGTATAAAATGAGGTCGCTTATGCTGTCTGTTTGCGTAGATCTTTTAAACTAAGCAACAGACTTTAATGTAGTTTTTATCAATAGAGAGAGTGATTCAAGATGAACATTTATGAGTATAATACTTTAAAAACCGGGACAGATAACTAGTTTATAATAAAGTTTTATAGCTATCATCAGTTCCACTTGGAATTATATTAATGAAATGTATTGTTTCAGACCCGCACTGACCAACTGGGTGTGGAGATGCGAGAACGAGTAACATGGGACATCAGGCAAGGTGTAATTGGTGCTCAGGCATTTTTCCCTAAACATGCTGTCACTATCACATGGAAGAACATGTCGTTTGCTGGTGGAATTGACAACTCACTTTATTTGGTGCGTTTATCTATATCGAATGTCGGAATATTAACAATCGATTAGAGTTTAGGTGTAGGAGAGAATAGGGAGTTAGAAAAATGAGCATGTTTAATTAATACAATAAAAATAGTAACGAACATTAAGTTGTGCATTACTTAAATGACAAACGTGCATAGCAATTGTTCATGTACGGGATTTATTTAATGTTAGAAGTAGACATTTAAATAATGAAACAATTTTAAGTTACTAGCTAAAAAACCAGTAGAGTTACTGGAAAAAACTTAGAGCAAGGGTAAAAATGTTAATTCAAAAATGATCAATAAAATATTATTTAATATTCCTTATGTATAATAGAAATTCCCTCCTTTTTTGACAGACAAACACGTTCCAAATGGTGTTAGCAACTGATGAAGTATTTACTTACGCAATATTCAACTATCTGGAAATAAACTGGAGTTCACACACCGAAGCTGGTGGTGATACCACCACAGGAGAAGGTGGTGTGCCTGCTTATGTAAGTGTTATTTTATTTTTCAATTGTTTTTTTAATCGCTCATTGTAATTCACGTTGTTGTTAAATATTTTCAACTGCTTCTTTAATTATTTAAGTAAATACATTACAAAGAATGAAAACGTATCTACTATATTCTACTACTACTGACCCGTCCTTGCTTCACAGGATCACATCGTACCTGTATAACTTAATGCATGTATAAATACATTTATTGTTAATGATTATACCTACAGGAATTATTTCTCGAAATAATTAATAAAGACGATATCAAAATGCGTTACGTGTTTTAAAAGAACTTTATGAAATAACAGACAGACGACAACGGCAATTATTTTATTCTACTTGAGATGTACTTAACTATTCAATACTATTTTCAGATTGGATTCAACGCCGGTAACGGAACTCAGAACTATGAGTATCAACCCTATTCACAGGCTTCTGTACTTAGAGATTTAACGGGTAGAGGTTGGGCTAACGGGTTCCCCGGTCGACACATATTCAGAATTGATGAGAAAATATTAATGGGCACATGCAACAAAGACATTGGTAAGATTTTGTAAGACGTTATTCAAACATTCTATGAAATATTGATTTTAATTAATGAATAAACTTCCGAGTTAGTAATGAAGAACTAAAAGTAAGATCTCATACGAAAATAAGTCTTATCTTGTTCATATAAGTAAATATTATTAAATACAGATTGTATAACAAGATTGAACTTTTGTACACATTTCATGAATAGATGTTAACAATATTAAGTTGGTTAAGTTTAAATAATACTTTTCAGTCTTTTGGGAATAATTGGTGATATAGTATAGATAGTAATAAAAGAAACTTAAATATTATTCTTCTTTTCATAGACGGCGCCAATCTACCTCTAATGTTCGCTCCCGAAAGTGGTAACATGTTGGGAGGGACCATAGTCAACATCACCGGCCCTTGCTTCGACCTGAATGATAGGATCACCTGCCGATTTGACACTGAATCTGTAGTCGGAGCTGTGATCGATACCAACCGAGCTATATGTGTCCAGCCAAGATTCTATCATAACGGATATGCTAGATTTGAAGTCTCCATAAACAACGAACCTTTCAAATGGAAGGGGAAATTCTTCGTCGGTATGTTTTTAAAAATATATATATATATATATATATATTATTTGAAAGATATAGTTTATAATTAATGTCAAAATGAATGCCAACACTTTGTAATTTTATTACAGAAACACCCGCAACAGCTACAGAAAAGATCTTCTTCCCCGACAACGCCGTGCATGAAGCTAATCCACCAGAAATCAGAATTACTTGGGACCGCTTCAACTTGACTACAAATCTTAATGTGCAACTGCAAATCACTTTGTGGGGATATAAGGAAATCACCATCAGACCACAACTAGAGTATATTGACATGATTGAAACGGGAGTAGCTAATACTGGAGAATTTATTATTAACCCGCAGAACTTCCGCAACAGGGAGAATACTATGCACAATGATATGCAATTTGGTTTCCTACAAATAAACTTGACAACACCAGAAGAATACAAAGGCATTAAAATATCTCCGTGAGTAAAAATATCTTTAATTATAATTAGAATTACATTTTCCTTTATTTCTTCCTGTACATAATTTACTTTTATTGCAAGCAAAAGTAGATAGTGGCAATCACTTTGAAAATATTTTTTGTGTTTTTCAAGGTTTTAAACATGTTTTTATTGCTCTGTATTTGTTACAGCATATTATGGAGTAGGCCGATTCCACTTGCTTGGTATTTCGCTCCACAATGGGAAAGATTGCATGGCAGACGTTGGGCGCAGACTTTGTGTAACAACTGGCTTCGTACCGATCGTTTCTTGAAAAACTTCGCTGCACAAATTCCAGTTTGTCCATGCACCCTCGAACAGGCGTTATTGGACAAAGGCCGCTTCATGCCTGACCGTAGTTGTGACAAAGATATAAATCCTACTTGCAGATACCACTGGGGTGGTGTGCATTGCGTTCAAAGTGGAGCTCCAAGGTAATATTGAATTTCAAATTTACCAACGGAAATATAAAATCAAAATATCTTTAGTCATGTAGTTTTTATGATAAATATACTGCCAGTTCGGATGTAGTTTGATAAAAAATATTATGACACGTTCATTTCGTTTTTTATATCTACAATTATCTTTACAGTAACTTTTTTTGTTCCTTTATCACTGCTTAAAGCAAAAATATTAGCCATAAAACCTTTAATATTGGTTAGACAAGAGAAGAATATAGAACCATTTATCCCTGGTCTATCTTGTTCTCTGGGTCTTCTGAAACAACTAATGAAGTATAAATTATGTTTTATTAACAGTTCCGAAGGCTCTGGTCAACAGTGTTGCTATGATAAGAATGGATTCCTTATGTTATCATATGACCAGATGTGGGGTTCACGACCTCACAGATCCCATGACTTTGGATTCAGTCCTTACAACGAAGCTAACAAGGTAACTAAACTAAAATTACTCAAAATGTTTGGACTAATTTAATTTCGTTGTTTTGTAACTATGAAAATATAAATCTATTTGATTTTAACAGGTACCTTCCTTGTCCCATTGGTTCCATGACATGATTCCTTTCTATCAATGCTGCTCGTGGCAAGAAGAACAGGCTGTTGGATGCGAAACCATCAGGTAAATATGACTATTAAATCAAATGCTGTTAATTATAAAAATTGCTACACTTACTCTTAGAATTTTTATTTGAAACCTCAAAAAGGGGTATATAAGATGCTTATAAATGTAATCAAATAGAATAGAAATAACTTTTATTCAAATTAACTTAATGTAAATACTTCTATCTAGTATTATTTTATACAACATCCACATTCAGAATTTGGATTTAACGGAATGGAATGGGCTAGAAATCAAATGTTTTTGGTGTTGCCCAAATTCGAACTGACAACAATGAAGTTCTAAATCGAAGTACTAAACAACCAAGTTACACTTTCTATATCCACCTTATATAATTCTTTTTATAAAATATTATAACTAGTTTAGATATATCGTAACAAATAATTTTGAAACAGATTTGAACGCCGACCAACACAGGACTGTGTCGCTTATCAATCTCCTGGTGTTGCCGGTATTTTCGGAGACCCTCACATCGTCACATTCGATGACCTTCAGTACACTTTCAATGGCAAAGGTAATTAAACTTATTCACTAGCGAATATTATCAATGTGATTATATTGATATCTAACAATAATCCTTACATTAATACCTAATTCTATATGAATTTTATTGTTTTCTTTTAAAAATTCTGCACACGAAAATTTTCTATAATATATCTGCCATATAACTATGCCATCTATGTTTTTATAACAAAGTTAGCAATGCGCGTAGGTTAGGGAAGTTCATCAAAATCTGTCCAGTGCTTTTTGCGCAAAATCTATCCATGCTGAACGCTTTTGAGATTATACAACAAGATTAATAAGGTTTATAATTTTACTGGTATTCTATTTACTGAGTTAATAATTAGTTAGATATTATTATCAATTCTAATTCATTTCTTTCTACAGTCCCATTATCAATTTTATTAATTTTATTTATTATGTTCTTTGTTTTTATCATTAGTATTACTTTTTATTTCGTTATCGTTTTTTTAATCAAATCATCGCACTTGCGTATACAGGTGAATATGTCCTGACTAGAGTCGACCACCCTCAACTGAAGCTCGACGTACAGGGTCGCTTTGAACAAGTGCCAAGAAATGTCTACGGCCCAGTGAACGCTACGCATCTGACTTCTATCGTCGCCGCTTCTAACAACTCAGTGCCTATTGAGGTACTGTCAACTCTATCTTCTTGATTGTTTTAATGCATGATGATAGAATGGATCACTTGTGTAACTTTATAGCTATAATAATGATAGAGTTAGTCAAGTACGTTAGTCCACAGGCAAATTCACCAGGAGCGCATTACATTGTTAGTTATGGAGAAACTCTAGCCTCCATTACTAAAATCTTCTCATTTTCAAATCTACTCTCCCTTGTATTGCACTATAGATTTATCAACTTAATGATTTCTGTAAACAAATTATTACTATTTCAATAGCTACATCCTGGAATTAATTTTATAGTTATACAAGACGATTTGGGAATGGTGATAGCGATTATGAACTGTGTTCGTGCAGCTCCCGTATAGTTCTTTTAAAAGCATGTAATAAAACACTCAGTAGTTTTAATAAATCTGTATAGGTAACTAGTAGGACCCAGTAGTAGTTATATGGATATATGGGTGTAGATCTAGCATTAAAATATTATTTGTGAATTCCATACGCAGATTCGTCTCCGTCCGCAACACGCTCAATGGAGATACAGACTCGATGTCTTCGCTGACAACAAGAGGATATATTTCGACAGATCAGCGCTTAGAATACAGTACTTCCCAGGTATCTAATTAACTATTTATAAATAATCTAATAATCTATTTAAGGGAACTAATAAAGCGACAGCTCTACATAGGTGTTACTGAATGTAAAAATATTAATTGTAGTAAATGTTGAAGAAAAGTCCAAGTAATACTAGTTTTAGTTACTAATTTGGCCTAGGCTAGGTCAGGTCTGGCTGGTCGTTAGGTAATCAATTATTATGACTTACTATATCAGGGGTATGCTGTAAAAAGTTGGCTTCATGGATACACCTATTTCTAGCCAAGCAGCTAATTTCGTAAACAGTATTTCAGTTGTGGGCATTAGGGAGCCAAATTAGAGGCATGTTATATTAATTCTCTAGAATGATAATCAGTGGTATCACAGATATCGCGTGGTGTCTGCAGTGCTGTTCATATAGGCAACAATTATCGCTTACCATCAAGTAGACGGTCAGCTTGTTTGCCATTCTAATCACATCTCTGTGCTGCATTTCAAGATGAAATGCAAGAAAGAACTCTGGTTGCCAACTAACCTTTGGCTAGTTTTAGTGTAAAGGTTGGACCAACTAAGTCAAAATAATTTATTCACAATTGAACATATTTAGCGGATTATGCACGTCAATATATTGGTGCAATTCTAAGTGTACCTTATATTGCTATAATTATTAAAAAGTCCACAGAAGGCCTTGTTCTTGTCAATTTAAATAATAGTCATACTTTAATAAATAGCCCCAATGTTCATTGGTCCATTCCCTCATTTTTTAATAATTGACCTTACCGTGGGTAAGGCTTTCCTAAGTCCACTTACCTTAGTCAGTCATACGTATGATAGTCTACGTCTAAACCGTAAGTATAATTCAGGATATATATCTTATTTCTACATTGTTCTCCTTACCAGGTGTGACAGTATACCAGCCTATGTACATTCTGAATCAGTCGGAAATTGTGATAATGTTTTCATCGGGCGCCGGCGTCGAAGTTGTAGAAAACAGAGGATTCATGACTGCTAGAGTTTATCTACCTTGGACTTATATGGTGAGTTTATCGGTCATGAGCAATGTCAACTCAGATGATGGTAGCCACTTATCATTAGCCATAGAATACGTGACACAATTGTCATTATTTATAACCCCCCTTGCCCTCTCAACGGTTGTATTTGTTACCCTCTCTCCCTGTCACAGTTGGTCACATTTTAATAGTTACAATTCCGTGTTTTAATACTACTACTCGTACTAACAAAAATTTTAATATTTATGAAATGTATAATTACAGATCTCATGACTTTTTAACACCAAGTTTGGGATTATATTTTATAGTATATACCTATGTTATATTATATATATATCTGTGGTTATACAATGTCACACTTTGTCACACCACCCTATTAACGGGTGACTTAATTTGTGGATGACAGGGTACATGGATCATCATGTTTGTCATTCCATCTACATATAACAAAATATCGATATATCGATGAAAATTGTGCATTTTTCTAGAATCAAACGCGAGGTTTATTCGGCAACTGGTCACTGGATATCAACGATGACTTCACGAGACCGGACGGACAGAAAGTCGCAATTGATCTGAATAACTTCCAGTCAGCGCACAGAGATTTCGCACAATACTGTTAGTATGAATTTTATTCTATTTATATGTTTATTCCATTTTTTTATTTCATATAGTAATATCTGCCGCTTCCTTTGTGGCGACATCCTTTTGGCCTATTTTTTTATCCTGTACGTGTATACCTAAGTTTTTTTTATTAGCTGGTCCCGTGGTTTCATCCATATCTAATTTTTAGCCTATCAGTTTTTTTTATGTATAAGCTGTAAAGTTTCATCAAAATCCGTTCAGTTATGTTTGTGTGAAAGAGTAACAAACATCCATCCATCAATATTCACAAACGTTCACATTTGTAATATTAGTAAGATGTTGCGTACACCACGACTATAACAATAGCACTAACTAACTCAACTAAGTCTTAAACATCAGAGAAATAAAAAATAATGAACGTTTAATTATTTTTTTATTATTATTTCAGGGCAACTCACAGACCGAGAGCAAAAGGACATAGGTGTAGCATTATTCATGAGGGAGTATGGTCGAACGGCAGCTTACTACAACGATAACCAGTTCATGCCAAACTTCATACGGGAACCAGCCGACTTCTTACCGGCAAACAGATCGCACGATGTTAACAGAGCTATAGAAATTTGTCAGGACTCGTACCAATGTCGGTATGATTATGGCATGACCCTGAACAGAGACATGGCAGAGTTCACAAAGAACTACCTAGCTTCTATTGTAAGTGACTCATTCTTTGTTAGACGTTGATCGCATGGTTTTTTATAAACAGTTATTATGTCTGACCTAGTCAGAGATGTAACCTAAGTTTATAAATTATCAAGAATTGTTTATGTAGTATACTAATGCTGTATAAAAAATTCTTATTATGTAATTAATAACATTAATTTAAAAGAGTAACACGCAAGTTTCTTGCTCTTTCTTGTGATAAGTTTGCGTTTCGGATGAGTGGTAGAATAAAAAATATAACTATTCAAAAATGCTTATATTAAATTTATTTGAATAAAGACTATTTCTATTTCTATACCAAGGTACAGAGGTAAACTTTTTAATTGATAATTATAGAATGGTGCACCTGCCTGCACCATTTGCCTGCCTAACGGTTTAGGGGTGGATGATAAGATAATTTTGACTTCAGGTCAGTTAGCTCATTCTGATAAATTCACTCGAATTTATCACGGTGGTTTTCAAGAGAAACCACGTGCGAATACCCGTATATAGGCGAAAGTTGGCATTTACCATTAGATTCTGCATCACTTTTAAATTTCAATTACATAAAAAAAAATTAGGAACAAAAGCATGAACTTACGGATTTTAGTCATCCATTATATTAAAAACACTACAGAATTTTGCTAACTTAATAATATAAAGTGAAATTCTTAATTTGCAATTAAAAATAATAATAATTAAAAATATTTTCTATACATATGTCATACAGTATACTAAAAAATACAATCTATGAAAAGCCTTTTCAAAATTTGAATGGAAACATCGCGTGAATAAGTAGGATGCGTTTGTCTTTGTCCATTGTTCTGTTCCACTCACGCCCTTCATATGGGATAAACCCATGGCGAATATTCAGTCTCTCTATGATAGCGACAGCTAATTGTATCTTCTTACTTTAAGTTAAATGTAATTACTTTTTTATTTAATCAATTATTATTTGTGATATATATTTTACTTGCGTTGTAAATAGTATTGATTCTTTTTTAAATCTTAAGAAAGACAATTTTGTTAGTCAAACATAATCCTGTATCAGTAGTTCCGGGACCTTCTCAAAATTTTTCTTTCTGCCATTCACACGTTGAATCTATTAAATGCAAGTTTGTCCCATGTTTTTTTTTAATTTGAACTTTATTTATATAATTGATTTGTCCACAGACAAATATAAAAGAGACGAACACACATCGTGTGATTAGTTGCGGTATTCTGGAGACGCCGCGGTTTGGTCGAAAGAGTAACTTCTTCTTCACTCCAGGAACTAGGGTAAGTGAAAGAAAAGAAAGAAAGAAAATTGTTTATTTATTTATTGTGATTGAAGTTAATTTAAATTCTGTCCATTAGGATTTAAAATTGTAGTAATAATAGTGTTTAGGTGCACAAGAGGCACCGTGAACCACTAGTTTTCATTAAAAAAATCATGATCGTTTGACAAGGAAGTTCTGAAGTAATAGTTTTTAGTTTTTGGTGTCGGCCAGATTCGAACTTTAGGTCTGCGAGTTTTAAATTATTAAAATATTATATATATAATATAGATATTCTCTCTAAGATAATATTAATTTAAATTTATTTACATTATATTAATGTAATTTGCATTGTTTAATACACATTTATGTATTAAACAATGCAAATTACATCGTACTGGTATCTCGAGTGTTACATTTTCCTGATTCGTATTTTATGTTTTTGTTATGTTATTATTCTATTGTTTATGATATATGCCTTATTCGTAGTATAATTATACATAGTTTCATTATTAACTGTAATGTCACATTGTTAGGTAAACTTCGAGTGCAACCAGGACTTTATTTTGATCGGCGACAAACGACGTATTTGCGAAAGCGACGGCCGTTGGAACTTACCTGAATATGGATACACCGAGTGTCTACGTAAGTACTGGACATTAACTATAATTCGTATTATTGTATTTAGTATTACCAAGCTAGTTTCGAACGGATGCAATTATTGTAACGATTTCTATTTTTTTATTATGTTATCAAACGGTAACCAATACTTTTTTTTATTCAGGTCAACAAGAGTACTCACAGCGCACGCTGTTTATGACATGGGGCGTCATAATGGCTATTATTCTACCATTAGGGCTCATGATTTGTCTGTTTTGGTTCTGGTGCTATTATACTCCAAAATCTAAAGGCAAAAAGACCTTCAGTATCAACGAATACACGCGCTCGAAATCGTCCTCTAAGCTCAATCTAAGATCTGCATCAATGGGGAATATAACAGATCCTATGAAAAGTTCGACCTTACGTAGTGACTCTGATATTAAGCCAAAACTACCCGATACTCCCACTGAAGAACGTCCGTTACACAAACCAGCTATCACTAGGGCAGCACCTCTGCCACCGCATGACGCTAATTTAGATGGTGATAGTTCTGGGTTAGGTTATACAGACTCTAATAAAAGTGATTCCGGCAAATCTTCCACGTTCAAAAAACGTAAAGCGTATGATAAAACTTACAGAACTAAGGAGCCCATACCAAATGCTCCGAACAGTGAATTTCCTGAGAAAAATTGGGATTTGTCTGAGGAAGATCTACTATCTCTAACTACCTCTCCTTCCGACACGGAATCCAACCGAGAGTCGACTTTAACACGTCCCGCAAAAGATATTGAATACGTTAGCAAACCCCGGCAAACTGGACGGCATGCGCTGGCTAGCGACTCTGGTTATTCAACAAAAGGATCCGAAAACCCTTACGCTTTGAAATTTGATGGACAGTACAGTCCAGTACCGTCTCAGTACTCCCCAACTTACTCTGATATTTATTCTCCTCCTCTCAGTCCCGCTCCCGATATAGCCCCAGGAAGTACATATAATAATCCAGGGTTACCTGATACACCAAAAAGCGCTCCTGCTGATGCAGTAAAAACTTTCACTCTTGCACCCCAAAAGGGTAAATCTTTAGAGACCCTTATTGATCCCCCTGCAGCAACTGAAGTTCCAACTTTCAGTAGTCGATCAACAATGGTTTAAATAACTTAAAAAATATAGTAATAGTTTTAAATCGAGATCCATCCGAAAGAGATTAGATACAGAGGAGTATGCTAGTACCCTCTATATATTCTTTGAGGTAATTGCCTCAAAATTAGGACTAGTATAAATATAGAAATTAGGTGTCTTGTCCAATTAGGTACTTTTTTAAAGAATCATAAACTTAGGCTTAATAATTGTCGGATATTCGACGACTCGGATACATAGGTCGATGATGATCAACGAAGTCTGTGAATTTGATCGTCAAGTCAATGTAACTACGTCATGAATCTCCGCTCTCAACTATCGCCAATGACTCGAGTAGAGTTTATGACAAAGAAATTATTCACTGCCCTAAAATGACAATGTGTGGGAGTACGGGCCTTCACTACTGTAATATGTACGTAATGGTTATAGAAATGTAATATATTGTAATAGAATTTATATTGTTTTTGTTTTATTAATAAGCACAACGATTAGTTTTTGCACATATAATATTATATTCTAGAGAAAATATTTTATATTTCCTGTTCTTGTTCATAGTTCTGTGTATATTTTATTATAATTTTATCAATGTTTGGTTATATTTGCCAGTATAATAAAGATATTTAATAAAATTATGATAATATCACAGGGAGAGGAAATTTCTGTTCCGATGGTAGAATAATGCCGCTATGACCGCTTCCCTTGTATATATTATGTCTTATAAGAAAGCAAGGAATACAATACATTTTGACCCACAAGTTGGTGGAATAGAAATTTTCTCTGTCATGTGATAATCTTTTATTATTTTTTATCCCGATGTACATGATTGTTATTACTTGCTTTCTTATCTTGTGCACACAATAACATTTAGGTCAGTACAGGTGAGTGACTATTCATATTTATATTTGCGTTGTGATTACTCATGATAAAATATCAGGGACGGTTATGTTTGCAATTGCGTAGGTTAGGTATGTACCTACTTACCATAATGTAGGTAAATATTCTCCGCGTTGTAGCATGGCGTCAGTGTCCCAATTATGTATCCTTTATTCGATAAAACAATAGTGAGAAAATATCAGTTATGAATCAAATTAACTACTTAAATCTTACACAATACAGCTAGTGCTGTTTTGTAGTAAATGTATATGACAGAAATACCTACAAACTAGCTGTTTTCCGTTGGTTCATCTGCGTGGAATCTACTAAGTACTGTTCCCGTTAATTTGATTTTTTTTTTCTTACAAAAAATTACTTATGAAGAAATCCCTGTGCACAATTCACAGACAGCAGATATGTATGTATACTGAGCAATCAGTAACATTTAAAATTTTATCTTCATTAAAAATAATAATTAAGCCTGTGATATACATTAACACATTTCACTAGTACAGTAATTAATGATTTTGTATTTATACTAAGAATTCATTCCCGCCAAAATCGGTCCATCCTTTTCAGAGATTAGCAAGATTAAACAGATAGACTAACAAAATATTTTTTTGATAAAAGTATAAGCATTTAATGGAAAGTTGTTAATTTCAAAATTACAAACAGACACTTAAATTTACTTGTATAGATTTCTTATTAGATAGACAGAGTAATCAAAATACACTTGGACGTACAGTTAGGAAATATAGAGTCCGCAATTTGTAAATGTAGAATGGTTCTTTATCAAAACAAAACATATGATTTTAGGTAAGCAAGAGTACTCAGCGCGTACCCTTGGTGCCACGTGGGGCATCATCAGCGCAATCATGTTGCCGATTGTCATCGTACTCATCTGCATTGGCTGGAGACTACTCAAGCGTTGGAAGAAAAATCCAGATACCTCTGAAGATGAATATGCCTATAAGTAAGTGTTTTAGACTGGCTTACTGGGCGGTTATAATCTCTTGAAGAGAAGATATTCATAGATATCCATAGATATCCACAGACATGAATATTTTTTACTATGTGGGGGAAATAAATAAGCTTATTACGTTTTGTTTCAAAAATAAACGGAGACGACCTCGGTGGTCTAGCGGTTAATTTTTTTTGATGATCGGTTTGGGTGTGGGTATAATGTATGTAGTTTTAACAATATTAATCTATTCTCAATTTGACCACAGACTCTATTAAATAATAAATAGAGTATACATCGTGTGCGTGTCAGATACATGGCAATGTTACACACATGCTCTTTTTATCGACTTAAGGGGGCCTTCCTATGTGACGGCCTGTTTTTTAGGGATATTTTAGGATTTTTTTTCTACGACCAGTAAATATTTAGAGCTTCAAGTTTTTTATCATTTATTAACACATATTTGGACAGTATAAATATAAAATTTCAGCTAAAAATATTCAGTCAAACTAGAGTTACAGCGCTCTGAACACCCCCGCCTCGAAAAAAAGAGCTCCCACTTCCTCCACGATTCCGGCTGATCGGCTTATCTGAAAAAAAAAAAAACGGCGTTTTAATTTGTAGGCTTAAAAGCACGGAATGACCTATAATCAAATGAATATAAAAAAAATTGGATTTTTGATAGACATTTGAAATAAAAGTTGCAAATTAGGCGTTTTTTTTTTGTTTTTTGCTATAAAAAAATCGAAGTTTTGAAAATTTTCGATTGATAATAGTTCATTCCATGCGTTTACATATATTGAGTGTGCCCTGTAAATTTCAAGTAATTCGGTCCAGCCGTTTCTGAGATACAATGGAGGAAAGTTTGAAAAACACAGTTTTGAGAAAAACGCGTTTAAAGTTTCAAGTCCGTTAAAAACTATTAAAATATCAACTTACTCTCAATCGGCGATGCCTGGTCCATAGAGTATTCCTTCCTCTTCCTCGTGAAACTCTTTTAAAGCAGATTGTTCAGCTCTTGAGTCAATCCTGGCTTGTTTAACGACATCACTTACGCGCCGCTCAGAGCGTAAGATTCGCTTTTCATCCCGTTTCTCTACATACGCTTGGGCTTCACGACCAACAGGGCATCCCATAATCGACATAACTTTTAAAATACCTTGAAAACCTTCATTAAAGATAATAACTGCTAAGTAGCTAGCAATTTCAACAACTTTGGGACCAGAATGAAGATGTTTAGGAGCGAAAGTTCAACCAAGACTAAAATAACTTCGGTAAAATATTATAACAATAGAAATTTCTGTTTAAGTCTGTAGAAACGTGTCTAAACTTGTATAAACAAATATATTAATAAAAGGGAGGCCAGGTATAAAGCCGACGGTACACAATAGGCCCGGTCTCTAACTGCCAACTCACCGCTCCGAACCGCTCTTTCTTTTACCTGCTGTATCTTTAAAACGACTTCGAATTTTCTAAAATCGCTTTACTACCGTATTCTAGACATGTTAAGGGAGCAATTTATGAAAAAAAAAATCGATTTTTTCAACCCATCACATAGGAAGACCCCCTTAATGTATTTTATAAAAATATTAGCACTCTACTCTCCTTCTCTATATAAACAGATATGGAGATATCTGTTTAGCACAAATAGTTCGCGAAATTTACGTAAAAATAAGTACAAAGTTTTTGTTTCAAGTATTAATGTATAGATAACTAGCTTTGCCCGCGGTTTCAACCGCATGAAATTTATAGTCTATATATCATTCTGATGTGTAAGCTATATTACAACAAAGTTTCATCAAAATCCGTGCTGTAGTTTTTGCGTGAAAGAGGAACAAACATCCATCCATGCTCATAAACTTTCGCGTTTACAGGTAATATTAATAAGATACGTTCTATTTCTAGAAAACCTTACATTGACGAGCCCTTGCATGTGAACTCCGATGATGAAAGTATACCATACAAGAAGGATACGACGGAAGACAGCCCATTGCCCAGTGAACCCTTGAGGGTGTTTGACGAGCCAGGAGACATAGGGATACCGGTGTACGACCAGCAGCAACACTATCCACCTCCGCCGCCACCGCATCAATCCTATGGTCTTCCACAGCACCAACCCTATACATCAGCACAGGATCCATCGGCGCAAGATCCATCTTATCCGTTAGTTCAGGATCCATCATATCCACCTGCCCAGGATCAAACCTATTCACCTGCGCAGGATCAAACCTATCCCTCTGGACAGGATTCACTCTATCCATCTGCAGCATCTACGGTGCAAGCGCGAGATACGAAGTGGACGGGGGAAACTGAAATAAATTAGTAATATAAAAATCAAACATTAATTTTTGTTAATTTCAAAAGAATTTAATTATATTTATATTAACGTCCATATTTCCATACAATTTTGAATTATTATTATTCATTGTTCTAATAAGCTTGAAATTATTAAATAATGCAGGATATTTTGTACCATTAGATATACATAGATAAGTTGTTATAATAACTTTTGCTATTCTATGTGGCATGGTTCCGTGGGGGAGAAGGGCATGAGTGTATTGCCTAATCTAAAAAACAGTTTAATACATTTACAAATTGAAATCTATTTAAAAATTATGTTTTTCTGTATGTTCTTTCTACTTTATATTAGAGTAATATCATATTAATATACAAGCTCTTCTTTGCCCTCGGAAAATTCCACCTATTCGCCAATGATAGTCATTGTCATTTGTGATAGTTATAAAATAATAAATGAACAAACTTTACAAATTATGTTAATTTGCTTATTAATTTAAAATAATGTTTAATATAACGTTTATATACGACTTAGATTAAGAATGCCTAATTTTTTATAATTTATCGCAGAGATAAAGAAATTTATATATTTAATATAAATTCCTTTAATGACACCCACCATAATTATATGTATAGGTATTTACGCTTTAAAGTCATTTACAAAAAATGCAGGTTAAATTTTGGAAAGATTTTTGCGTTTTATAGGTATTGTGTATAGTTTTTTTTTATATTAAATACTTACATAGTGGAAAGAAAATGTACTTTGCACTGTTATTATATTTAATAAAATAACGTAAACCATCTTGGTACCTGCCTAGATTCTAAAGGGATAATCGATGCTCTTATATAATAAATCCTTGGGGGTTCAATATTGTGACATATTGTATTGAATATTTTGATTTGTTAATTTATATTTGACCGAAATAAAATATTAATTGTAATATTTGTCTATTACTTGTAATACCTAATCACTATGTTGCCGAATCGAATTCTTACGCTATTGTGGTATAAATGTACCTCTACACAAATGTACAACATAATCAATAATAGGTTCCCAATAATATGTTGTAATGTTTGGACAACAAACAAATATAAAAATGTACTTTTTTATTCTTTTAGTCTATGGTAACCTTGCAAGTCCATCTTTGAGTAATAAAAAATGAAAGTGTGCATTATTTCATAAATAACTTGAAAACTATCATAATATTTTTTTTGTGACTACATGAAAACCACCAGGATGGTATTAAAATTAGTTCACGTAGAAAAATGTTCTGTGGTAATAAAATATTGAACAGAATTGAGAACCTCCTTTTTTTAAGGAGGTTAAAATATCTTAAAAAAATTTTGAACATGGATAGTTCACCTATTCTCCACAAGAGCGAGTCAAATATTTCTTCAGTGTATATTACCTATACAAGATACTGTTAAAATATACGATGTAGCAGTATACTATATTTTTGAAGGATATAAGATTCGTATATCTATCCCAAAGAATAAAGTAAATATACCAAAAATCTATCCTTTTCAAGGCAATTAAGTCTATTTAAATCTTAAACTGTAAAGCATTGCAGAGATGTGTCAACTCGAGTTGCGGTGAATTCGAGTTAACTCGAGTTGAATTCTGCCAACTCGAGTTGGAAGTATTCAACTGGTAAATGAACGAATCAAGCTAAAGAGCGAGAACATGATTCTGTCGTCGAACCGACAATGACATGAAATTTTCCGATCATTTCATATCATACAATTTTCACTCGTCACAAATGTTTCAATATTGATTTGAGGTCGTTATCATTTATTTTTCACATATTCGTCCGATTATATTATCATTAAAATGATTATGCGTTCTATACCTAAGTCCTTCCGCGACTTTGAAGTGCCATTTTTACTCGCCGCCTATGGTTCGTGAAGCTTCCAAGGCTAGCTGCGGCCAGAAACATTAGATTTATGCGAATAATTAAAAAAAAGAACTGTTTATTCTAGGTAACTCGAGTCAACTCGAGTTATCTAAATTTCAACTCGGATTGACTCAAGTTACGTTTATTACGAGTTAGCACATCTCTAAAGCATGATATCGTTGCTTTTTCCAACTTGTCCAACTAACAGCTGATAGAGAGAGAGAGATTTTTTTGTGTAATGACAATATCACATGACAGGATTATAGTATTACCATGTATTTAGTCGAATGCCGTGTAAAATGGTATATTATTATATAATTCTAATAATATTAATATAATTTTATACCACATAATAATGTTATAAAAACAAACAGAATAAACCAGGACAGGATAATAATAATAATAATAATCATTTATTCAGCATAAAAAAGAGTACAGAGTAAAAAAGAAAACTTAAATACTAATAATCGTCTATGCTGAAAAGGCTTCCACTCAGCTGGTGCCGCAGCGTGTCACTACAGCGCTGATTTTCAGTGGAGCCACTTGAAAAAAAGAAATAGCATTCGTGATGAATTTAAATATCTAAAATGAAGAATCAGTTAAATGGATGAATTATAAGTATGTGTGATAAATAGAAGAAAAATATATAAGGATAAAAAAGTGTTGATAGAAAGACTTTTGTGTAATATAATATAGCTAACAGAACTTATTCAAATATAAAAACAAAAATAAATATTTAGAAAATTAAATAGATAATACTTAAAACATTAGCTAGAGATATTTGTACCTAATATATCGATGGACTTGTCACCAAAGTATAAAAATATAAAAGTTATAATAAAATTAAGTACTACCGGGGAAATTAATTTATAAAATTGGCAATAAATGTCAGTCAACAACAAATGCGACTCTACAGATTATGTAGAGTTCTGCCGACTACGTTTACATAAAAATTGACGTTTCCCACTTTTCGAATTTAGAATTGCGGCACTATATTATACTTTGTTTTATTAATTTAAGTGCAATTCTATTTGTACTTACCTATTATTAACTCTGTTAATTGTTTGTCAATCTTTTAAACGCACTTCGTGTTGTTCTTGAAGTTACATAAACAAAATCCAGGTCGGTACATTGTTTTTATTTATTTATTGCGTTAATGTGAAATTTGTTTCCATTGGCAACTTGTAGAACAACACATTGTATTTATTATTTTTATAAATAAGAGCAAAGCTAGCATTCAAAATAGTTACCATAAATCTGTAACGACGAATGCTGCTTTCCAAAATAGGGTAAAACTAGTATAATGATACCGTCTATTACCTCACCATCAAATTTAATTAAAATTAATTTAGTAATTTACACATGACAGTCACACAGATTAACTAACATATAATCATCTTCACAAACCTAACAATGTCGGGCGTACTTCCATACGGTCACGCTGGAAACCTCTAATTATAAACTAAATTCCTATTTGCTATGTGACCATGCTAATTGACCTTAATCATTGTCCTTCTATTTTCCACTGATATCTTTTCTTTCATTGTATCTTTCATAGTAATATGTAAAAGTAATAATAAATTTATAGTAATAATATAATATCTCAGGAAAATTCACACAATGCCATCTAGCCCCAAGCAAAGCAGAGCTTATGTTATGGGTACTAGACAACTGTTATATGCATTTTTTTGTAAATAAATACATATTATACATAGAGAACACCCAGACCGATACAAACAATCATAGAGATGAATGTTAATAACGGTATTACGGGCAAGGAATCGAACATGGAACCATCGGATAGCAAAACGGTATGCTAAAGCACTAGACCACCAAGGTTGTTGATTGTTTGTTGGTTTGTTTGTATATAACATGATGACAACATAGGCAAACTTTTATAAATATCTCATAAAAATCTACTATGCAGTTTTCATTACCAATATCTTCATAATACTTATTCTACAGGAATTTAAATAATTAATATTATAATTTATTTGTTACAGAATTACATTGCCATGTATTGTATCCACATACTAATGCTTTAGCATGAACTTTAGATCAAAACATGTATCCTGGTTATTTCTTCGACCCTGGCTAGGGGTGCCCCTGGGAATATGGATTGCAGTGTCTGTTGTTTATTACTGGTGGTTAATATCAAGGATAAGTATACTAGAAACACAGAACAAAGTATTTAAAACTCAATTAAGGCTGTCACAGAGTGCTATGAGGCAGATGTCTGAGGGCACACTCACTACATATAAGGTTCCATTTGTAAGTATGTCTATTTATTTATTAATTTATAATAACTAAAAGAATTCCTGTTGCAAATAGGTGGAAAAGCTCTTCTGTTGAACATTTATCTAAACATTAGTTGTATGAATGGGGGTTGACTGAAAGAGTCGAGTTTCCTAACCATCCTATGGGGCAGAAGAATCAAGAGCCACTAGCTATAATCCTCTTTCAGTCAGTGTTCTATTTAATTACTAAATTTATATAATATTGTTTATATATGGGGTTTACTATATTATTTTTAATTTTCAATTACTATTGTTTTTGGAGGATAACATGTTGTAGTTTTATTCATAATAGGGTCTCCAGTTACTGCTAATCCTCTTCCTCCTTTAGTTATGTGACTATGCACATTGCAATTATAATACTTAAAAATGTTTTTTATATAATTATAGAATATTTAGTAGAAAATGTTGAGTAGAGAGTTTCCAACATTTTAAAATAAATATACCATGATCAATTGATATTAGAAGAATGAATATGTCAACAATGTATTCATAATAGAAGACATTAACAATATTTAAATTATCGTTAAATATTTTAGATTCCAGACTCAATAGGCACACTGTGTGAAACAGTTCACATAGCGATGGTATGCATGGGTAAATGTATGAGATTAGTTACACCCATGATAAAGTCTCTACTCCACCACCGCCAAAATCCACTGCACTTTCATTTTATTGTGGATAGTACATCACAAGAAATAACTAATATACTGTTTGATACATGGGATTTACCTGATGGTAAGTGTTAATATGATTATTATCACAAGAACTCTTATTCTACTACTTCTACTTATTCTGTTTGTCGGCATGGAATGACTTTCCTTACAATAGGTGAAAAGTAAAGACGGTGGATCATACCTTCTTTACTTTTTTCCTACAAATAAAGAGGAAATAACAATTAAAAATAAAATTACATGCTTATTAAGTCTGATCAGAGCGACAAAACAATACATGGACGAGAAAATTGACTATTCAATTTATACAGTACAATTTATGTGTACAATATTTGCACCTATATAAAAGATTTTCACTTATGACCATCCATGGTCTTGGTCCATCTTTTATATATTAGTAAATTGTCCCGGGTTTGCCTGGGTTGTCATATCTTTATTATATTTCTATATTTAGTATATTAGCATTTCACTTGTATATAGGTATATCTTAAATTAATGTTGTGGTATTTACTAGTGTTTACTTCTCTCATATCAAAATCAGTTCTCTCTCTTTATAGTATATGTTTTCATTATTGATATTAATACCAATAATTCATGTAAAGGTACAATTTTAAATTTTAGTTAAATATACTTGCTATGATGCCCAAAACTGGCTGCCCCAAGTGAGATGGATTCCTAATAGTCACTACTCTGGTATATATGGCCTTGTGAAACTCTTGTTCCCCAGTATATTGCCAAATACATTAAAGCAAGTTATTGTACTGGATTCAGATTTAACATTCCTTTGTGATATTGCTGAGCTGTGGAGATTATTTAGAAATATGAGTGAAAATCAGGTGAGAAAATATTTTTATTTTTTTATTTAAGAAGATAATATAGTAATATGTATCTTACATAACAAACAATTCAAGTAATTAGAGACACATTTACATTTTTCTTGAGTATAACGTACAACAATATGATTTGTTATTTTTTATATATACTATAAGTTTTTTCTGCTCTAAAATGGCATCTGCGTGCTTATGCTTGCTTGCCAGTGTCACATGAATATAAGCTATTGATATATGTGAACAACACCATATCATTATTTGACATTAAATATACTTACAACATTATACAGAATTCTTTGTACAGATCTCTCTCATCGTTACCTCTAATTTTTTATACATACATCAAGATCCTACATGAATAAATGATTTACTATTACATACATACTAATGATAATGAATTTTTATAAAATATCTGCAAATCTAAATTGTTATTCCAGTAGTTTCATGGTCAGACAAGTACAATCTCTTCTTAGCAAGAGAGTGTGTCGTTGACTACATTAATAGTGTCTATTTAAAAAAATATCATGTAACTTATCTATCATGTAACTAGAGTAAGTAATGATACATGCCAGAAGAACTTTGAAAAACAGAAAGTTCTTTTTTAGTAAAAAAGAAAATACTAATCTATCATTTTTAGATGGTTGTTTACTATAATTATTATTATATAGCTAATTTCCTATGTAAGGAGTATGTAAGGAGTAAATAAAGAAAACAATAGAAAATAATCTGCATTTACTATTTTCTTTTTATACATTTTTTTACTTTTAACTATTACTCAATATACTTACAGTTTATAGGTTTAGTAGAAAACGAAAGTGATTGGTACTACGACACAGAGAAGCACTGGCCAGCATTAGGGCGCGGATACAATACAGGTGTGATGCTGCTCGACCTTGAAAAAAGCAGAGACATGTACTGGACCGCACTTTGGCATGATGCAGTCAGCGAGAACCTTGACAGGTTGAAGCATACCACTTTAGCTGATCAGGATGTTATAAACGCGGTTATAAAGAATAATCCTAAAATTGTGTACAATATTAGTTGTCATTATAATGTACAAATGTCTACAAAGACCATGGCCAAGAGTTGTTATGGCGAAGATGGAACTTATGTTAAGGTGAGGTAAGGTTTATGTTTGTTGATTTCTATATAAATCAACAAAATGATGACTCATCTATTGGTACGTGGCATATGTGTTTACTAGCGATGGGTAGTCCACATATGTAAGTAAGAATCACATCCCTCCCTTTGTATGTATGTTTCATATTATTAAAAAAAAATATCTAAGTATTTATCTAGTACTCATAACTCAGGCTCTACGTAGCTTAGAACAAAATGGCGAGATGTAAATTGTTCAAAGTTATTATTATTATTGAGCGGAGTGCGATGCGCGGAGGGATCTTACAGATCAGATTTGCACTCTTTGTGTTAGTTATTCCTCCCAAACGGCTTGACCGATCGAGACCATTCATTTGGTCAACTACTGTCCTCCATCGTTTACCTCCCAAAAAAATTCCGGTCGGTCAAGGTAGTTTCTCAGAATTAACACGCTCCGTTCAACATTTGACCTGGTGTGTAATCAACACATTGATACCAAACCTAGTTTATTTATTTATATTCCTTAAGGAAGGGCATTTGAAAAGTTACAAGTATGAAACACGATCTATTAATTTATTATTCACAGATAATACATTGGAACTCTCCCACCAAGTACAATATACGGATAAGGGATTCGGATTTCTTTAGAAAGATCCACCAGTCGTATGTGAACTTTGATGGAAATCTACTCAGAGAAAAATTGCACAGTTGCTCCCAAGCGGAGGTTGTAACGTATAAGGTATATTTTATTTTACTATCTTCACTACATACATACTTTGTCCTCACATATCCTTTATCCTTTTATAATAATACTAGCTGCTGCACGCGGCTTCGCTCGCGTTATTTCATCCTCTTAGGGGTGGAATTTATCAAAATCCTTTCTTAGGGGATGCCAACGTCATAGTAGCTTTATGCATTCAAAGTCTCAGCCCGATCGGTTTAAAATTGACAAAGTTCAAAACTTTCATCCCGTATTTTATACCTTTAGGGGTAGAATTAATCCTTTCTTAGCGGATACCTACATCATAACATCTACCTGCATGCCCAATTTCAGCCCGATCCGTCCAGTGGTTTGCGCTGTGCGTTGATGGATCACTATGTCAGTCACCTTTGAGTTATATATATTTAAATATACATACATAAATATTTTAAGTTAATTCACTAAAATGTATGGACCAGAATTGTTCACGATAGAAAGTAATAATAAAAGTGCTAAAGGCCTTAGTTTAATTATTAAAATTATAAATAATTATTTTATTTATAATTTGAATTAGTAGTGTAAAGTTGCTATTTTAACCTTCTAAATTTACAATCTCTGTTTCATTCAGTGAACTCATAAGCAGTAATTTCTTCCCTATATTTTTTTCTAGATGAATCACTCCGATTTGTGCATTAGTTTTCGAGCGGCACAACGTGTCAAACTTCGTACACATGTTTATTATATGGAGTATAGTTACTCGGACATAGACAATTTCGACGTGACTCTTGTGGTTCAATTGTCTATGGACCGACTTCAATTCCTAGAACGACTCGTCAAGTATTGGGAAGGTGAGTTTAAAAAACTTAGGGTATCTTTACACCTCACTGTGTTTTACAAAATATTAATTTCTAATTCTTTTAGGTATTATTTTACCCATGGTGTTATGATCATTGCCCGTAGAAGTGGCTCATTTGTGTGGTCATACCTACAGTTTTATCTTGTTATCATTACCAGCATACAGTAATCAAGTAACTTAATTGCATATTTAGATTTCTACGGTTATACTAACTAGCTAGTTGGAACCGTAGATGATTATCGAAATTCTCGTATTTTTAACAGTTTATCACTTCAATGCACTTCATTATGTTATTTATTAACAGGACCACTAAGTGCAGCAATTTATCTATCGGACTGCGATGTTGCAAAGTTTGAGAGCTTCATAAACGACTGGTCTGACACATTAAGCACAAGACGAAATATTGGATATCATCTTGTTTTCAAACACGATTCGGTAAGTTTAAAATTATATATTATTTCAATAATTTTATAATTACAGATAACTATTGCGTATAATGACTCAATAATGACTCAAAATAATGTTTATTTTCTTTCGAGCCGGATGCATAACTATATATTTATAAACCATACATATTAAGATTTAATAACAGTAACATCATATTTTAGGACAATTGACACAGAGCTTGTGATATGGATACTAGACAAATGATATAAATACATATTTCCTTTTTTTGTAAATACATACATAATATAAATAGAAAACATCCAGACCCATACAAACGATAATACTGTTAAATACAAATGTTTGTACCCAGCGAGGAATTAAACCCGAGACGATTGATAGTAAGGCTGTGTGCTAAACCACTACACCACTTAGACCGACAATTTCACTTAAAGTTACGTGGTAAGCTTGAGACTTGGAATGGTGTTTGACCTTTCCAATTAGGAAGTCAGTGTTTTTCATGTCCAGTGGTATGATAAAATTATGATGAAGATGTCCAACCACTGACTGACTATATTTAAAAATAACTTAATATAATTAGTTATTCATTAACATTACAAATTTTCTTCCCATTCATTTGTGGCAAAAAGCTTACAGTGTTTTACAATGTAGGTACACTACCCTGTCAACTACCTTCGTAACGTGGCACTGGAGCACGTCAACACGCCGTACGTGTTCCTAATGGACGTAGACTTCGTACCGATGGCAGGACTGTACGAGCATTTACGAGATGCCATTAGAATCATCAACCCCTACCCACAGAAAAAGGTAAAATTTAACATAAATCAATCGACACTTAATATTATAAATGGGAGAGTGTGTCTGCCAAGGCGCTCGCATTGCGCTGTTAGCGCACAGCTGTATTGTGTAAATGAAGTGTAAAGCTATACCAATTACCTAAAAAATGTGCCTTTCAGTGCTTAGTTGTGGCGGCATTCGAGACGCAGCGATATCGGGCAACACTGCCTCGTAACAAAGCAGCGTTGGTCGCTCGGTTGTCGGGCGATGTGGCGCCGTTTAGAGCTCGTGAATGGCCACGTGGTCACCGCGCCACCAACTACAGCCGATGGACCACTGCCACCGCCCCTTACGAGGTACCGTCACTCGCTTACTGAAATTCCATGTAAAAACAGATGGACAACAAATGCTGTTTTTTTTAGTGTTTTGGTCTATTGTCAGGTGCATTGTAACAAGTAATCTCAAACTGAGACTAATATTTTTTTTTTACTACTACAAAAACTTTTTGCGTTGTTAAATAGATTAAAATATAAAAAAGGTATTTGAAAGAGTTAAAGTAGTGACTTACATTTTAGTAGTAATAAATAATATATTTCTATCTATATTATTCGCAGGTTGAATGGCAATCCGACTATGAACCTTATCTTGTAGTGCATAGAACAGTTCCTAAATACGACACGCGCTTTTCAGGATTCGGTTGGAACAAGGTATGTTATTTAGCGAATAATAAGAAGGTTTCATAGCAAAACATCTATATGTACTATAAATATAATATAGTAATTAGAACCTCTTGATAAAATTCTCAATACGTTAGTAAAAACCGCATTAAAATCTGTTTGTGGGGATTCAAGCAGACAAATATAACAATACTGTTCATGCAGGAAACCAAAGGTCAATATTGTTTTATAAACCAGTACAACTAGATGGCGCTGTATTAATTCATATATTATTCTACTACGTGCTGTTTGTGTTTTTTTTTTACTTAGATCTAATTTATACAGTTGTAACCTCATAATAACGGTTTTTCTATTAAATTTTAGATTATATAGGTACAAAACCAATATAGTTGTATATTATTGTTCTCCAAAAGTACATTGATGTAATTAAAACCCCCACAATATTTGTATTTCAGTCGTTAATTTTTTTTTGTACTAAGGTATCACATAGTGTGTCACTGCGGGCGCTCCGGTACCGGCCGTTGGTTCTCCCGGGAGCCTTCGTGGTGCACACGCCACATGCGCCCTCCAAAGATATCACGGCCTTCCGCGCCGACCCGCACTATCGCATGTAAGTTCTACCTGTTTTATATTTTCACCAAGATAACACCCACTAAAAACTACACTTTGTACCTCTAAGTACCATAGCCAATAATATAATAAACATATAAAATTCTCGTGTAGCGGTGTTTGTTAACTCCTGCGGAACGGCTTTACCTACAGATTTTTATGAAATTTAAATCATGTGTGATGCCAATATCTATTTTTGATACCTCTCAATGATAAGATACAATTTTTTTTATATTTTATTGACAAAATATTTAATTTTTATTTTATTATGATTTAGCATTAAAAAACTTCATATATTCACCCTTTTACGATCAACCCCTTTTTTAGACTTTTGACTATATAAAAGTGAGTCTATTAGGTTTATATTAATAAAGATTATTTCTATTAAAAAGTACATTATATAAACATCCAGATATCTTAACAAACATTGAAAATTGTTAATAATGTTATTAGATTGTTAAAATTATGTATGTATTTAATTATGACTATAACTTATCATTACAGTTGCTTAGCGCTCCTGAAACAAGAATTTATGGACGATCTCAAGAGGAAGTATAATATCACCTTTGATGAACCTCCCAAACCAGACTCTTTATATTTGGGGCAAGCGAAAAGCCTCTTACTCAATATGGCAAAGAATAATGATTGAATCTACTTGTTGTATTATTGTTAAATGTAATGGCAATACCTGAATAGAAAGACTTGAAAGTCAGACTTGCCTTTCTCGTGAGTATTTAGTTTTTTTAAATTTGTATAAACAAACAGAAAAACTCAATGTTACTCATGTTGTTATTTTCAGGCTTCGTCGTTACTAATATTATAAATGCGAAAGTAACTCTGTCTGTCTTTCTGAGATTTCGTGTTAAAACTACCGAACCGATTTAAATGAAATATGGTACACAAATTGTCTAGACCTTGAAAAAGGACTAGGCGACTTTTTATGCGTAAAAAGGGTTGTAAGAGGTTGAAAAGAGGAATAAAAGGTTGTATGGAAGTAATAGTAAGTAGTTTAAAAAAATTACCCTTAAGGGGGAGGGGGATAAAATAAAATTAGGTATGAAAGTTTGTATAGAAACTTGTCATTTATTGAAGAACGATGAAACTTTTTTCATTGTTTCATTTCATTCACAGCTGGTATTATATATTCTAGTAATACAAAGTCATTATTAATAATAAGTTTAATAGGAATGCAATAAAATTTATATTTTATATTAGAATGTAATATAAAATTTCTGTGATTTAACCAAATATCTTACATTACCTAAAAAACACAAAAGTGTAGTTTTTCTCACATTAAACTGTTTGTTATTTTATCTTTTTCTTGTGATAATAATGTTTTTTATATTCAACTTAGACGAAATTGAATGAATATTTCTTGTGTATTAAGCAGACAATGAGCAATACATTAAAACTCGCCCCAGTCGTAATCGAATAATAAGGCTTTAAATATATTTAAATAATTGTAAAGAGTATCTGATTTTGTTATATTGGATATGCGAAATAATATATATTTTAAACCCCTTATTCATATAACGAAAAACTATAAATACGTTTTAACTATCGTTGTTTTATTCGTAGATAAATATATAATAGATAAAATGGTGCACTCCCCTGAGCTAACTATTAGTTTCCATTACTAACAATACCATCCCTCCATCCCACATTCAATGTTTTGTCTCATTCTATAAAATGAAGAATATAGCTCGTTAGAAAGTGTCAGAAAGGTCTAAAATAGTTTTTTTAACCGTTCAACGTTTATAAGGGGGTTATATAATAATACAATAAATAATAATAATAAGGGGGTTCGAATATTGTTCAATGTAAATAAATTTTATAAGTATAATAGAGTAGTAATAATTTACTTATCACGGGACTTTATTACTATGTTACTTATGAATAAATTTTATATTTGAATTCAGTATTGTTACTTTACTATTTATAGAAATAAATTTGACATATTTTTTTGGTACATCCGATTCTATCACAAGCGAAGACTCGCGTCTGGTTATGGAACGCAATTGCTAACAACTTTTGTAACTTGAATATATTTTTTATTTTGTCCGTGTCAAACCGGATAAGGTACGAAAACACCGTGAGAACGCGTAGTCCCAGATTTGAGGCTCGATCCAGGTTTATTATTTTAATATTCCATTGTATTGTAATTTATATTTTACGTATTCAAAATAAGATATTTTTAATATGAAAGTTGTAATTAATTTGTTAAGCTTAATTATTTTTAATTTCATTTATTGAGTAAGTGAATCTTAATCTGAATATTTTTACTTGTTATGAATAAACTTTGCTTCTTCAGTCTCACACATCCTAATGGTAGCGGAATTAAACAAATTAATATAAATCCATCCAATTAATCGAAGAAAAATAACTTTTAATCGTATTCTATTCAAATCAAAATAATGTTACAACTACCCGTATAAAAGTAACTGATGGTAACGCAGACAGACATGGCAGCGCATGAACATCATAAGATCTAGACAAGTGGTATTCCAAACTGTTGATAAAAAAAAATATTACTCTCGTACTTGTGAGAAAAAAGAAGATAGCATTATAAGATACAGGACATAATAAACCAGCTTTAATTCATGTTGCTATGAAACAGTGAAAAAAAAGCGAAAATTACAGTTTTTCATCATTTCTTAATTACCTTTGATGTTTTCGAATTGTACTATTGATAAAGTATATGTTGCAAAACTGAAATGTTTCACCACCAAGTTTTACAAGCTTCATAAATATAAATGCATTTTTAGTGTTTTCCTTTACTATCTTGCAATAATGTTTCATTTAATGTTGAAATGTTTAGTTTTAAGTGTAATAAATAAAAATATTATGCAATTATGTTGTATTACAAAGCTTTAAAGTATAGCCAAAGAAACAGTGATTTACAAGTGGAAATTAACGATTTCAAATTTCACTTTGAATTTGCACTTATCAATGTCGTTGAGGCGGATATCTCAAGTTTAGTTATTAATAAATATTTGATTATAAGATAAAAAGTACACATTTACTTATTGACCGACATTTTGTATTGTATAACGTCATTCTTATATGTAATTAAAAAGGTTCGCCATTCTACTATACCTATTTTTGTATAATGTGTAGTATTTATTTATTTATTGTTCTGCACACGTTATATCTGAAATGTTTTTAAGGACGCATTTCGTCATTTTATTTATATTTATTGCATTGTAAAAATTATTTTCAGCAGAAATTATGTTGGCTAAAGTAATTTTAACTCTAATATCCATAATCCTTAATTTCCACCTTAATAAACATATTTTATTAGAAATTGTATTTATTCCTGATGAATGCTGATATTTTTGGAATATTATTTAAATACGAGATTTGTGCATAATATATACGTATGTGATAAATTGATGATTAATTATATTAGTTCATAAATATTTTTATGTTATGGTAATAAAATCTCATATTATAATTTAGTTTTTTTATTTCTAGTATATAGTTACAAAAAATCTTGTAAATAGTGATGATAGGTACTTCATGCTTTAATTAGTGCTTAGTACAGTCGTACGTTATTCTATTATTTGAAATACTGTAATAATACTGAAACTATGTACCAATGAATGTAATAATTCATTGGTGTATTCACCTCAGTACTCATGTCATCTCACTCCTATGCAGGTAATCTTAAATTGTTACTGCCTTCTAACAATTTAGGTGATTCCTCATTCATAATATGATGAAGCTGTAAAGGCCAGCTGCGATCAATAGCATTAGAATAATTAAAAACAATCTTTTTAGTCGCATAAAACAAAGGTACCAAAAGATAGGCTTCGGATAATTTTTATTAAAGTTATCGTCGATGTGAATGCATAAAAAATGTAAAGTATGAATATTATTTAAGATGAGCGAACCTTAATAAGCTTCTGTCCCGATCATTCTCGATTCAGAATTACCAAGTAAATTATTACTATTTGGGTTCTCTTTAGTTGTCAACATCCAGAGCAAGACTATTATCTGGAAATCCATTTCTTGGATGTCTTTTTTCAAATTTACCACAGCTTTTTTCGCTGTTACTAATGGTGAATTGTCATTCATAGCTGATCCTCTGGATTCCGTACGTTGTTTTATATTTTCCACCTTAGCAGTTATTTCATTCAACGTTTCTTGCCTCTCTGTCACACCCACACTCACCTCTTTATACTCATTTGTAACTTTATTTAGCTCATCCAAAAGTGATCCATACTCTCTAACTAAAGGTTCAAATTGCTCGTTTAGTATGTTCTCCCTAGCAGAAATCTTATCCATCACAGAACTTATATTATTATATAATTTATTTAGCTGCGTTTCGGTAATCTTGAATCTATCAAAGAGTTCGTCTTTATAACTTCTCATTTGAGAATGTCTCGCCCTCCAATCTCGACCGTCGGCAGAGATCTTCAGTCTCAAAGCCGGTGCCACTCGCTCCAACTCAAGTTTCCAGGCTTCCCAATCGTGCATTTTAGTAGAAATATCATTAGTTTCTTTTTCATCTGCATTACCGTATTCTCCATCTGATTCTTCTGAATATATAGCCATTTCTTCTTCAACTTTGTCCAGAATAATTTCAGTTTCGTCCTCCACTTGGTCACCGTCATCGGGCGATTCCTCCGGTTCTGCTATATCAACAATAGGCTTTTGCCATTCAAAATTTTGCGCCTTCAGTGCCTCATCAGCCAGTACACTTAAAATATAACAAACCTGTTCACCAAAACCTTGTTTTAATTTGTGTGAAGAAAAATCTATTGTTATATCTTTTTCCCTTAAAAAATCTAAAATATTGGCTATGGTAGAGTTGGGGTCGTCTTCTTCGTTAGGCAGTTCCATGTCTTTACCAATCTTCTTGATAAGCCAAATTGCCGTGGATGCAAAAACAAAGAATTGCTCACCAGGATTAGTCGAAGTAACGAAGTAGTAGCGGTTCATCGGTTTCATTTTAATTTGCGGTCTTAACTCTGTGTCGATCTTCAAGAGACGCAACTTATCAATTATATTTAAATCCATATTTATAACTTAAGGTGCTGTTATATGTGATTTTACTGTAAATATTGTCATAATAATATGTATCAGTAGTGTTTTGATTAGTTGTTACCATAGCAACCAAATAAAAAACAATCAACATACGATAAAAAACCAACGTTAAAAAGATCAACAAAAGCGACACGATTTGGCACCTCCATTAGTCGAGGCGATAAGTTGGCATTGACTCAGTCCGACTCTAATGGGTTCGACCTGACCAATACAATATCTCCAATGTAATAGGACACTACTACATCCAATATTATTGTCACGAGAGGACGGGAAGTTGATTGGGTGGTTGCTTATGCAACGACCAAATCAACTTCCCGTCCTCTCGTATCTCGTATCTCAATAGGAGGTGTTTAGTAACGGCTTCTTCAATCAGGTGTTTAGTAACGGCTTTAAAGGACTAACGGCATGATTTATCAAACGGTGGTCAGTTTCCATTAATTGATACGTCAAGGCTAGTAATCAATCGGCTTCAAGAGATCGACACTGCCAAATGGCTCTACCAAGTGTATACGGACACGGTTGTAATAATATTACTAAAATAATGTGTCTAAGTAAGTAACTTACTTAGACACATTATTTTAGTAATAAAGACTAAGACTAAATAAAAAATTGTAAGTTTATTTTAAAACAATTATTTAACTTTAATATAATCCTTCCTTCCTTCCTTCCTTAAATAAGACTTCTAGTTATTGTGTTATGTGTGACTGCTACTAATGTTATATTTCTTGTAATATACTTGAAAAATGTTTGTTAAGAATTTTGTAGGTACTAAAAATCAAGGCGTGATGATGTTTTGGCAGTTCCCCAACAAATTAATTAGTAGCTAAAGAAGTGTTCCCAATTTAGAAAGGGAATAAAATTAAATAGGTATTTGCAAACAAAGGCATAGTCACAGATAAGAGAAAATGCGTAGTGTATTTAAAAAAAGTGCGTGCTACAAAACATACGTAAAGGAAAATTATGATGTGAATTTCAAATTAATATGGAGATATTAAATCGAACGATATTTTCATTTCTAGAAGTCTCCTTTAGATAGGTAAGGCACCCCGCCTTACCTATCAGAAACAGAAAAAAAGACGTTCACATTGAAAGAAAATTTTAGAAAGGATTATCATTTAATGGTATTCTTTAAATTCATCAAAAATGACTCTATTAAATTCCTAACAAACATTGTTCTTGTTTTGTAAAATTCACTAAAATAAAAAATAAAAAAAATACCAGTGATTTAAAATAAATTTCAACTCAACGAAAGTAGCATTGTCATAAAATACCAAACGCTTAGGTATTTAATTATACTTCATTTTGGTAATGACTTAAGTCATCTTCACAATAGGCAGTTGTTGAAGTGAAATAGGTAGATACTTATAATTGTATATTAATTCGATTTTTATTGCGATAATATACCTATTGTACTTATGCTATCTTATGAATTAAAATTTCCAACGATGACTCATTTTTAACAGCTATTAAGTGACAACACTAATAGAAAAAAAAATCATTTGAATTAACATTTTGGCTATAAACCGAACCGAACGATTACAGGTCTCGTTATTAATTATAACAAATATAATAATATTCGTATTTGTACGATATTCGATCGAATTTTGTATTGTTTGTCACATTCTCTTATCTGTGGCTTTGTCCAAATTAAATTATCTGTAGAATCTATCATTTAGACAGAGTGGAGCCACAGATAAAAATTTTAATATAATTTCAATATAATTAGTGCAATTTATCAATTACTTTTTTTTCGGACTACTCAAATGTTATTATTCATAGCTGGCCTTTACAGCTTCACCGGACTATAGAGGGCGAGTGCTGATGGCACACAAAACTCGCAGAAGTACTTATGGAATTGCTGAAGGCCAACTCCAACCTGACGGATACGACATTAGTCTGAGTACACAGCTAAGGGTTCGAACCTTGGCTCGGACCGCCATAATTTCGATCCCCGTTTGAATTGGACCAGGGATCGATCGGTGCGAATTCCATTTTCTTCTCGAGAATGGATGCTGATTGTTGCTTTGTTACTTATCCAACTATATATTTAATATTTGAACTCGTCCATATATCTCAGATATTACCTAGATTTTGGTAATTTAAAAAAATATATTTGAAAATGTAAAATTGTACAATGGCGTCAGGCAATTACTTACTCATTCTTCTTGGTTCAATTTGCATTTCAAATGAGCGGTAGAAAAAAAACTATTCTAAATTATTTAAATGACGTTTATTTGAATATAGATTATTTCTGGTCTATTCTATTCCATGTCATTTCATATAGTAGTCTGGTGACTAACATGCCCGTGACTCTTTCAGGATAATAGTGTTATGAACTTGACACATAAATGTTAAAATGACAAATATGCCATAGATTCGTTACAGGCAAGAATTTCGCAGAACTGGCATTTCTTTCTTCAAAACAAATAGATTTAAAAATCGGTCAAGTTCAAACTCAGGAATGTATTTTGCCGTCGTTAAGACGATGACCTTAATGTTACTCATTTTTACACATCCAGAGATTAAAGGAATTTTACACACGAACACGTTAATTAATCACTAGCGACCCAGCCCGGCTTCACACGGGTCCTGTATTCGTAGGGGGTTTCTTTTTTTAAATGAATTCGGTAGCCTTATTGTTAATGTACCATGTCTGGTTGACCTCCACGCAGTCTCTCAGTCAGAAATCTTCATGGTTAATTCTGGAGAATGTCTTGTCTTCATGTTCTGCCTATGACTCCCCGGAGCCCGCCAGACATACTGATGCACACAATATACTGTTACGGCTGTATATTTTAACGTTCATTGGGACTAGTATACCTATCCTTTTCGCAGAATTTAAGAAGCTACAAAAGTTTGGGGAAGTCTTTACTTTACTTTTAACTTTTAGACAATATTTTAGCCTCTACTAAAATGTACGGATAGTAGGTAATAGTACAGAGAATCTGGTACATATTATAATTACATTTATTCATCCATATTCCTATTTACGGCTTTAGTTTATTCTAAAATCCAGAGGTCCTCAAACTTTCTGTCTCATATAAATACCATTTTCTTGCGTTTTCGTACAATAATTAGATTAAAAAAGTTAGCGATTTTTTAAGCACTATATTAATATACGCGGTGTATTTCTATTTTTCCTATAAGGAGTGAAATTTTATACCACATAATATAATTTAAGTCTAGGACTAGCTTAAGCAAACACAAAATTTATTGTAAATGTAGAGTCGATGTTTAATAATCCTTGGTATAGGTGTCCCAATTTGTTTCAATGGAAAAATGTAATAAGTAACCATGGAGGTAGCTATTTAATTTTGAATTTTCATTGTTAGATATCTCGAATCAAATGATTGGAAAAAGACTGGCTTTATCTCGTATTACTCGCATGATAAAATTAGAACCACCGGTGACCACCAGCGTGCCGCGTCAGTCGCAACGAGGCGCTCGCGACGCGGTTGTGTTCCGAGCGCACAAATTCAAATTTAGAATAAACTTTTTGTTTTTCTTTTGTTTTTGTTTTTGGATGCATTCGGTGTTACGAAACGGATTTAATTTTGTGCCAGTGCGTTTATATCGAACCGTTTTTGTGCAGCGTTTGATTGTGATATTTAATCCAAAAACGGATTCGGTTATTGGTGCAATTCTGTGATGTGTATTTGATAGATTTTTAGAAAGGTGAGTGTGAAAACATATAACAGTATTTTATGTATAAAACAATGTTAAATTAATAATAAACAGGTCCGGTTACTTAAATGGGCTTTATAAAGGCGGACACTAGTCCGTCTCTCTGTCACCAGGCCATAACTTTCGAACCGTTAGACGTAGACTAAGTGACCGAGATGTCACTTTGTAGGTAACTCGGCAACACATATTACCAATAATCAAATAGTAACTTGATGTATATACCTTTTAAGTAACATATTTTAAAGGAGTAACTTAGAACATTTAAGTATATTTCATCTAATATATATGAATAAAATATTAAGTTCGTATACAAGTTTAATGATAAAAGTTTTATAAGTATCCAACTCTTATCAGACTAAAGTTTCATGAAACAGCATTTTGAACTTTTCACACTAAATTGTTCACGTGACCACGTGCAGTTTATATGAACGTTTTAAACCTTGCTACGTTGGGAAAGTACTTACTTCGATATCAAAAACAGGTACTATAAATTTCATTTATTTAACTTTCTTAAGGATATATTTATTCTAATAAACTTAAACTGAATAATCTCAGCTTGGTATCCATACATGACTAATGACATCATAATAATAATTTAAATTTATGAAAATGAAAGATGAATCAAATGATTTTATTACTAAATACATGGCACTAAATTACTGTTTAATAATCCCACACATAAGTATATTACTAAATGTCTTGACTGATTAGGTTTATATCGCTGATAACATACAGCACTTCACTATATGTAGGTACTTGCAGTAATTTGGTTTTAAATTATACCTACTTATTTTTTTTTATCAAGTGCATAATATAAGTTGTTGCCAAATTATCTGCATTCCAAAGGCAAAGTTCGGTTATATATGTTACGATTATAAAGGAATTTCATGTCTCAACAGATAGCATTAAGTTATTTAAAAAAATATTTCTTTCATGCATATTAGTTAAGTGTAATGTAAATAGGGTATATTATTTAGGGACGAAAATAGATCTGTTTTAGGTACTAAGGCAGAGCGTTACTCCTTTTTGACTGAAGGGACAACAGCTGTTTTGAAAGGTATATATACACCTACACAAAACGAAATATTTTTTTTAAAGGATGATAATGAAATGGGCACCTGTGGAGGATGATAGGATGAACATGAAGTCAGATCAGTTAGCCCAACGTGACAAATTCGCCGGGAATGTACGATGGTTCCCAGGGGGAACCGCGTGCAGGTCAACCTGACATGGTACACTGCTAGTAATGGGGTTATGAGTCCACATAGAGAAGAAATATTATATGCATACATTCTTCATTGCACATTTAAATACATAATATAAATGAATATTAGAAATATTGTTAGCAAAGGAGGATCTATAAGAGATCTCTTCTACTTAAGTTCTATCATTGTCGTAGCGTACAAAGCCTGCACAAGGGAATCTATTGTAGACAATTAACACCCTATATAGTTATATTTTCTAATGACTAATTACTTTATGTACGAAAATTTCGAAATAAAATCTGGATAATAAAAACGTTACTTACTTAAACAAATACTTACTTAGACGAGTCTATTGTCTGCAAAATTACTTGATGTTTGCAAGCGATTAATTTATTTATTATTATTTAGTATTCATTCCAATTTTCAGCAACACAATTTTTGCTTGTCTGCCTATCGGTTAGGTACCTCTTCAAGCCAAAATTACAAAATTATTAATTTAGGTATAGAAATTGATTGGACTTGGACCTTTGCATTCTATAATGAAAAATGAAGGGCATGAAGCTTTGTATGGGGAATCAAATTTAAAATAAAAAAATATCATATTAATTAAGGAGATTATTATAATGATAGCTTCTATCATTTCCGACAATTTTAATTAAAATTGTTCCTTACATTTCTATTTTAAATAGATCTAGCTATATACCTCGACTTACCCTGCTTTTATTGAGATATAATATATAATTGAAAAAAATGGTTGCCTTTAGCACAGACAGCAACAAATAGAAGTCAAAACCAAGTATAACCTATAACTAAAGAACTACTCGTGAGATCGTAATTAAATTATATGTGAAGCAACATTTTTCAAATACACACTAAAAATTTAAAAATAAGTACAGACTAATAGAGAACATCGACCTCTTTTTGAAGTCGGTTCAAAATATGACTGAAATGGGCGGTACCATTTGAATACTTTTGCTTCTACTTTGTCACGACGGAGTCGAGAACAATAAATAGCAATAACACAGCATCTTAGTGACCTTAATTCATTAAGACAATGTGTAAAGATTGGAATTTATCGATAACTAGTTTAATGGCACAACTTCATCTGCTTCACACTTACTTGATGTTTATCATTACATTTCACCCAATTTACATAATATCTTTTTAAATTATAGCCTATGTGTTATTTTGATGTAAAGTTTCATCAAAATCCTTATCCATTATTCATCCATAATCACAAACTTTTAGCACAGACTTTAAGAACTTTAAGCAATAATATCTTTAAGTAAGTACGTACTTTGGTAAGATTTTAGTCGTCTTGAATGACTAGTTACCATTACGTCAGCTTGTTTACCATTACTGTTACATAAAAAAATGTATACGGCTCTTCCAAAAATTCAAGTTAATTGACAACTTCCTCCCTTTTGAAGTCGTTTTGTTTCTGTATAAATAATATACAAGTACTTTATGCTTCGTGGAATCGAACATATGTTTGCGAAAATTAAACCCGCTCACGTTGTCTGACAGCACAATCGTACGTGATAAGAATTGCAAATTCAAAATTGATTCCTGTTAAAGCTTGTTCACTTGGTTCATAAGAATACATTTCAATGACAAGTTAATTCATTAACAAACTAGCTGATCGGACAGTTGTTGTCCTGACTGAATACGTGAACTGTCAAAGGCTCGAATTTAATAAGTTTTCTGACAAAGTGTAACGCCAAAGTCATATAAATTAGCCTGTGTTTTGCATAGTGGTCAACAGTGAAATTATTGATTTTGGGACATGCTTCGTAATCAGTAGAGTTATAGCGTTCCAAAAGGGTCTCTAAAAGGGCGCGTCATGCGCTATGGCATGCTCGTCGCTGGCGGCACCTGATGGCTTCCAAAGTTTTGGAACGTTTTGGAACGAAGACAAATGCCTCCAGAACCGGCACTTGGACAAACGATTTTAATAATTATGAAGTGTAGGCCAAAACCAGTAAGTTCACTATAGACTACTATGCAAAATGCGGTCTAAGCTTGGCGTAACTATTAAATGGCGTCTCTTAAATGTATCCTTCCGTAAGAACAAGTTACTTAAATAAATGCCTAAATGTCATTGACATGCGAGTATATTCGTCATCCTTTGAATAAACAAGTCTGTTTTATTGTTTTTATTAACAAAACATGATTGACAGATGCACAACTGTAGGTATATTCTAAACGAGCTATTGTTTGGCTCATTTGGAATAGCCAGTTGAATTCATCAATAACAAAATCAGCGAGTTAATCAATACCACAATGTTCAAGCCATCCAAGTCTAATAAAAATTAAATAGAAACAAGAGTATCGAATAGAAGATTTTATTCGTAAATAAGGGCTATTCGTTATATAAGGGAGAGGGATGTTAGTAATTTAGATCATAGACTACTAGCAATGTACCTACTATATCGGGCTGAACACCACGCAATTATTCTCTATATACTGAAAAAGATTGAGGTTAATTTGTGTTGAAATCAGCACAGTGGAGTAATTGTTCTGATTTCATCCTCGTCCTTTCAGCCTCTTCTGATGTTCCACCAGCGTTAAAGCAGGGTCTGGTGCCCTAAAAATTGTTATATAGAAGAACTGAATTTTGTCTTAATAACATTAATATTGCACTAACAGGCAAGTATAATCCGTTGATGCATAAACAATCATCAAAAAATCAAAATCAAATCATCAAATTAAATATTTAAATTATTAACCGGGCCTTAATATAAATAATTCTATGGCAAATAAAGGTATTTACCTCTCTCGACGTTTCGACTAGGTTGCACTAGCCGTGGTCACGAGCTGACTGGAGCAACAGCGATCTCATTGTAGACAGGTGACAGCAGATTTTTCATCTACCGTCACAAGATTGTTCAACGAAAGTTCGCGACACACAGTACTCACGGTATCCGTACACTTATCGATTGTTGATGCTACTGAATTATGCTTAAATTTATTTATGACTGGATTCCATGCAGAAGATAATTTTAGGCCATTCTAATACGACCAAATTTATTTCAATGTGTAGATTTAGTACTTGTTACACATAAAAATTAACAATTAACAAATCTGCTCTTTTTTTAAATTGATTGTTAAAGATTTAAAAGGTCATTTGTATGTATCATAAATTATCTTCAACCTTCCACCTTCCTATCATAAATTATCAATATCAATTTCAACCAAAGATATTGAACTGATGGCATGTCAATGCCGTGGGTAATACTAGATACCTACCAGTCTAGTAACACCAGATGATTTTATTTAAGTCTTTATATCGAATATCACCCTTCACTAAACCTTACAAACTTGTACAAAATGTATTAGAACGCAACGTGGCCATGTTTCATACAATTATATGTCAAAGCATACAAAAATTGATTAATTGAAAATATTTCAAAATGGAATAATCTATACATATAAATAAAATTGGAGTGTCTGTTTGTAATATTCATATAACCGTTTTTTACTACAGGCATATGAATATAAATACGGTACATACACCAAAATAACATTTATTTTGTTTTATATTTTTTGTCTGTCCGTTTGTTCCGGCTAATCTCTGAAATGGCTGGACCGATTTTAACGGGACTTTTATTGGCAGGTAGCTGATATAATAAGGAGTGAATTAGGCTACTTTTATTTTAGAAAAATAATATTTAATTGCACGCGGCGAAGTCGCGGGTACAGCTAGTTAATAATAAAAATAATAACCTAATAGTACTTTATATTTTTATATTTTTCAAATCATTAATAACGGCTGATCCAAAATCA